GGGGGGGTTGCTGTGGGTGGGGGAGGTCTTTTTGGTTTGGGTTGGGTTTTTTTGCTAGGTTGTTTTCTGCTTGACAGGTGACTGCAGTAGGTTAATCTGCGTTCCCTCACTGTAACGGGATGAATCAAATCCCTCCGAAGGCAAAAGCTGGATCAAGTGTTGGATTTATTAGCTCGCTTACATTCCACACCCACATCCCACAGTCTGTGCTGTTAGGTTTATTCTCGGCTGTTGCTAGGAGAGCGCATTCCTGTAAGGTAGATGCAGAGCCTTTTGTCACAGTCGTTTGGGGACTCTGGAGTGAGCCCTGACAGCCCCTGTCGAGGCGGCACCCCCCAGCGCTCCTGCCCCCGCGTGTCAGCACAGCGCGTGGAGGGCGAGCCGACGGTGGATTTGGGCAGGGTTCTTGGTAAGCAAAAATCTGGATAAATAATTTTTTTTTTTTTTTTTTTCTTACTCCACCAGTTTCTGGATTATTTCAGTTTTGTTACAATTCTGATCATGCATCATAGGACTGCAACAATGAGCTTTGAGTAAGTATGCGTTGTGCACAGTAAAATAGAAAGAAAGGAACATTTAACAAGTTAGCATTTCATCATACACACCGGATGGTAGGCACAAGAGAGAAATCGAGCAGCTCGGGTTGATGTAGAGCGTTTTCATGAAGAATGTCACGTAGACCGAAATGTAAGAGGAGCTGTTAGTAACCCGCCCACACCCCCTCCGCCGGGGCCGGTGCTGGGAGTAAGGGGGGGTTTGTGCACAAAACCCAAAACACTCAACAGTAGGAGGACAAATTAAGTTACTGTAGGCAGCAGTGTGAATATTAAAAACCTCTTCCTGTGAAAGAATACTTCAGACCCTGTAAAAACTGGTTCAGTTAAAAATAGATGTATTTACATTTAAGTCTGATCTAGCAAGTTTTCCCAGCAGGTGTAAGTTAAGATGTACAGTAACTCTGCAGGTTGTACTCCATCTGACTTGGTTTGTGAATGTGTGGTGGTTTGTTTTTTTTTTGAAGTTGCAGCTATTAGGCCTTAAAGCACCAGCATGTTACAGCGGTGGGATGAGTAACTTCTCTCCGTCCGCTTTGCTACCAGTACACTGCTGGGATGAATCCCAAACCTGTCGTTAGATCACACTGTTGTTAATTAAGATGGTTTACCAGGGCGAGACTGTTTTCCCAGACACGCGCGCGTGTCCTGCCTCTGCCCGCAGCACTGGTTAAGTACGCGAGGGCAGAGTTTAGCTGTAGGTGGCGGCAGCCGACTGCTGCTATAGTAAAATATTTGGAGAAATGCACCTGTTTTAGTTCATATGAACAAGCTTTGTTTTTGTGAAGCCACTTATGGTACTTTTTCGGGGAATAACCACTATTAAAATGCTAAATCTGGTCAAGGTTAGCTCTTTGGTAAGCTCTGACGCCTATAGATTGCACAGCCTCTCGTGCCGGGTGCAGGGGGAGGGCGGCTCAGTGTCGCTCTGCGTAGAAGGAAGCGTTCATGTCACCATGCCAGTCAAGATAGTTATTTGTTTTATTTGGTTATTGTTCAACAACAAAGTTCAATACTTTCCAGGTGGAGCGTTGAACTGTCCCGCTGGTTCCCTCCCTTGTCAATAAGAAAAAGGTAATGAAGAAAAATCCTGTACTTTTAGAGACCTAAAACCTCATTTATGCTAACAAGCTTCGACTGCAATTTAATGTTACAATATTTCTTCATGGGAGCGAGGAGGACTAAGCTGAGGCCCCTCCAGTGTCGGAAGATGGCTGTCCACAACCACCATTAAAACAAAAAGCTAGTGTTGAAAAACGCACAGTTTACAATAAAAAAGTAGAAACCAATTCAATTCCCTTTTGTTACGAATATAAAGTTTCTTGTAAATATGTACAGTCCTTTGAGCTATTTCTATAGCAGGAAGCATTTCACGAACGAGACACAAGATATACACTTCCAGGACTCAACAAGCCCCTTTCTGAGGCCTTGAAGATCTTCCATGAGATGCAAAGATTTAAAGACTGATCTCGGTGACCTTTCCAAATACTCAGACCAGGAGACACAAACTTTCAGCCAGTTTCCTGCCAAATCATCTGATCTAAAATAACCCAACAGACAAGAGAACGGAATACAATATTCATGGAACTCGCCAAAGGACACTGACAAGGCATTTGAATTTTGATGATGGGTTTCTAGAACAGGTTAGCACAGGCTTGCAAGGGACTAGCAGAAGTTTAAAAGAGTGTGGCCAAGGGAAGATTGGATGCAGTTTTGCTCTTTCCAGTTGTAAAGAACATGGTTGTTCACTTAGAACCTTGCTATTGCAGCTTGCGTGGTCAAAACCTGCTTTGAAAATCATTTGCTCTCTGCTTCGTGTTCACAGCAAAAGAGAATAGAAAGCAATAAACGGCTCGAGGTTAGATACGCGGAAGCAAAGGCGAAGGCGCGTTCGGTAACCGCTAAAGCTCTTCATTGTGAGTATCCTCTTGTGCCGTGACATTTGGGTCTCACTGTACGACAAGGTACAGGTGACGGGAAGAGCCAGCCCCGGGGGACGCGGGGCTGGCAGGACCGCGGGGCCGTTTCTGAGGGGACCGTGGTCAATGCTGAGAGGAGGACACAAGCGTGACTGTAATTCTTGTCATAGAATAAGGCTTGTTAACTCTTCGTTGCCAAATTTCCGGAGTAATTACCGGTTATTTTGCAGCGTAATCTAAAGGTTTCGGTTAATTTACAAGTGAGGTACACTACACTACTCAGCAAAGCAACCTAAAAGGAGAGAGCAGCCAGTGATGGTGCAGCAGCATGCAGTGAACTGTCATGCAGAAGACCTGGATAAAGTCTTACACCCCAGTAGCTTATAGGTAATGCACTTTGTCTCGGGGCCGGGCACATGGGATCCTTTAAAGCAGGGTTCTTCCCTCCCCCTCAGAGCTGCTCCAGAGCAATTTTAGTGAGAACAAAATAACTTTCAGAAGTGGCAGGTGAACAGACTACTCAGAAGTAATTTGTCTTGCGTTCTGTAGAGAATATCCAATCACCCCTTCTACCGAAAGGCTCACTCACCTCGGCCCTTCTGGTTCCAGGCCGTCAGGAATTCCCAGCACGTCTCAGAACTACGATCAATTCTCTGGTAAGGGGTGCTAACCACATTAAAGACCTGGGGTGGGACTCTAGTCCCGTTTAATTTCCTTGATGAACTACTAGGGACTCCAAGTGAATACAAAAAGTTCATTAACTGCTCGAAAGAGTAACAGTAGTACAAAGTGCAAAAACAGGAGTGCAGGAAAGTGCAGAGAAATTAACTGAGATGCGAACAATCTTCAGAAGCGTCACGTCTCCCGAGGCGGAGCTAGCTTGGGCCCAGGAATGGTTTTGGTAACTGGGCAGCAGACATATGGAGTGCATATGCTCAGTGTATTTCCTTTTTTTTTCCTGCGGGTCACGATGAGTACCTTTGTCTGGCTGAGACTTACACTGAAGACTGGTCCCAGACCTGGCGGGGAAATAAAACGACAGTTACAGGTTGCACGTACTTTTCTCGCATACGCACAGGTGCCAGCAGCACCCAACTACTGCTGCTGCCGCTGAGCGAGTGCTGTGTGCCTGCTCGCTTCCAGGCGGCAGAGTTCTGACTGACAGCGTCGCTCTGAACACCGCGGGCTCCCACGTTCCTTTCTCCAGACATTGTTCCCCTTCAAGTCCTCAGTGACTTGACTTCTGCTGGTAAAGGCACCTTTGCTTTCAGAGCTGGAGGACTTTCGCCTGTTCCACAGCCAAGCTGCTTTTGCAGTCACAGAAGCAGCACAAGGGCCAGTGAGTTACCCCAGATGTGCTCTGTTTTAATAGACATTGAGGCAGGGGGGCAAGATTTTTTTACAGTACCACCAGCTCTTCTGCAGTCCGGGCCTCTTCCCGAGGCTCCTGACTTACCTTATTGACTTGAGCAAGAGGAGTTCTGGCACCGCTCACAGGCATTCGGCCTCGGCTGCTCTCTTCGAACAGTCTCCCAGGGGACCTCTCTCTGCGGGTGCTCAGAAGCCGGCCTGGAGACTTCTCCCTCTCCAGCGGTCGCCCAGGTGACTTGTCCCTCCGCAGCTCCGTCCTTCCCTCGCGGTACCGGTGTGGTGTGCTTGGCTCTCGAGGGTGGCTTGGACCTTCTGGTGGTCCTGGGCTGGACGCTACCCGCTTGGTTATGTGCTCGTTGTATGTGGGCGGACCTCTCTTGTTAGGGCTACTGTCATTCAAAAATAATGGACGCGAACAGCTGAGCGACAAAAACCTCACGTTACATTTTCTTTTAGCCAAAATGTAACTTTCCCCAAACACGCAGCAGTGTTCGGGTGAAACAGCATCAGACCTCCCCGAGCCAGGATGAAAGCGCAGCGATACTTTGATAGCTGGGTGTTCATCACATTAGCAGCGCTAGTGAAGGGCCTTAATGAATTGCCAATGTAAGTCACGGCTGTGTAACGGGCCAGAAAATGAGGCTTTTTCATTACTTCAGCAGTATCCTTTTCCCTATAAAAGCACGCTGAAGTTTGATAGGTGCCTTTTCACACACAAAATTTTCAGTGGCCCCAGGATGTTCAGGCCAGGTCAGGATGAGCTACGCACCTCGGTTTCTCAGCTCCCAGTGGAGCTTCCCGGGGGAAGGGGCTCTTGCTTTAGAGATTGTTACGTCAGTGGATGTTTTGTGTCGATGTATCAATAGCATCTAAGCTCACCAAGCTTTGAAGTCACAGCTATACCATGACATCAAAGTAAACCAGCTGGAGATCGCAAAGCATTTGTGGAGGAGATCACCCACGTATTTCTACAGAGTTAACGTTTCTTTGCCTTCCAGACTTTAAACCACCACTGACTCTACTCCTTGTTCCATTCCAGCGGGTCAATAATGGGGTAACACCAGCCTCTATCTCAGGGCACCCAACATTTTGGGGGGAAAAAAAGCCACCCAGAGTGAAGTTTGCTTACGAGGTGCACAAGGACCACAACACACGGACTTCATCGTACCTGCGCGTAGCAGACGATCCTCTGTGGTGCTGCTCGTTGTTGGTCTCCTTCACTAGATTGCCCTTACAGCAAATCACCCTTAATTTGTCTTGGTAGGAGGAGGCCAAGTAGATAGCTCCAGATGAAATTGCAGGCCCTAGATACCGCGGATTTGGTATCTCCAAGTGGGCTCGTGCAGGAGTTCTGGGTAAAATTGCAGGAAAAAGCCTTTACAATGACAACACCGTACCTTTTCCAGGGAAGCACCCAGAGCCTCGCAGCGCACGCTCTTCAACGTAACGAAAAGAGAACAGCTTACCCTAGAGAAGCTCGTGCCTGAATCTCGATCACTTCGAGGGAATTGAAGTGGGTGACAAACAGATAGGGCTCCCTGTAGGCTGAAGGAGCATCACAGAGGGAGGAAAAACACAAAATAAAATTCTCTATTAAAAACTTCTAAAAAGCATCAGCGAGCACAACAGGGCCTCACAGCCCCCTGGGAAAACAAAGGGAACGTACTTCCTGCAATAAGAGACAGACGCTGTTACTAAAGAGGGAGGTGCAAGCTTAAAGAACTGCTGCTTTGGAACCATCTGTAGCTCAAGAATTTTACTAACCAAAGCATCACGAAAAAGGCATTAACGCCAGGCTATGAACGGAACAAAATCCCATTAGGTAGCGCGAAAGGCCTGAGGGAACCACACTGGCATTTTATATTCTTGGCTATTTCAGAAACTTCCAAGCATCATTAAAAATTCCACTAGCCAGTTCAATCACTGGTTTAGTGTTCCTCAAATTGTTTATACTTCAGGAGGTTTGCTATTTGGATTTATAAAGCTCTTAAATCAGGAAAATCTCCTTAGTTTCTGGGAGAATTAGGAGAGGGAAGAGGAAGCGGAAGCGCCGAGTGAAGAATACCTCTCCCACAAGGATGCTTCCCGGTTTCAATAATTTCCATAATCCCAGCGAACATCCCTCAACACCTACCAAAAGCTAAGGGCAAGCGATTCCATTTCAGGTCATCTGTCCTACTGCGTCTTCCGTAGGAATCCACAAAGACCCCAAACTCTGCCAAGAAAAGTAGTGTCACATCACGAGCACGTGCCTGAATTTTATTCAGTTATTTTTGAAGGGACAAAGGCAACCGACCCCGGGCTTTCTAACAGGAACAGGGGGCTCGCTATCTTGCAAATCCTAGAGTGCCGGGAATTACGCTAATTGACATCGAACTGGCTCGATGTAGGAGTACTTTCAGTACCAAAAGGTACTGCGATTCTAGGTCTCTCTACCAACTAAGGTAAGGTCATTATTTAATCTGCAATTGGGAAGGCTACGAGACCCAACATTACTGCTAGTGGGCTTTTGAAGAATTCCCGTGCGTTTCCAGGACACTATCCTAGAGCCAACAAAAGCAGCTATACAAAAAAAATAACACCCTCTTTTATTTCATCACAAGAAGATTAACAACATCTTGTCTGTATGGAAACCAGACAAGTTGGAAAACCCCTTAACATTTTACCCGGATAATCAAATGCCCGTTTGCACTTAGCATCGACTACAGGCAGAAGCAAGCTGACCAAAAGCACCTCGGCAGGTGCTGCTTTAGTGCCGGTGCCCTGCGCAGCTTACTGTTTAAACCACAAATCCTCCAAGGCTGTTCGATTCACAATCGTCAACAAAAATTCAAAAGTCACCTCTGCCCAGCTTTCCTTTGCAGCAGGACTTGGGTGCCTTCTGACAGCGCGCGTACCACGCAGCACGCTTACCGTGGAAACACAGCAGATACTCCTCCCTCTGCCCCGTTGGGTTCACCTGGATGATACTGACGGGAAAACTGTTGGTGGAAGCAGCGAACACAGCAGAGGCCAGCGTGTGGTCATTTTTATCCAGAAACTCTGCAAAGAGAATGGAGAAAAGCAGCCTGATCAGCACCAATGTTTTTTTTTTTTTTTCCTAAACCGCTTTAGAGAAGCTCCCCCACAGGAATGTGGAGCCACGCGGGGCGTTCCTCAGGAAGCATCTCCTACCCTCCAGGGTGTACTGCTTCATCTCGATTTCATAGAACTTGTTGGTTCCTATGATGATGCTGTAAGTGGTCAAATGGATGCAGCTGCAAGGCTCAGAGGTTTCGATCTCCTGGAAAAGAGGACAGTACGGACCAGTATTAGTTCCCTATAACAGTTTACAGATTTTTCTTATTCTAGAAGATTATATATTGCCATATTTAATCATCTCTTTAAAAGGGAGAGACAGCAACCTCGAAGTCACTAACTGTCTCTCAAAAAGCAAAGTATCTTTACTGTTAACTTACAAAATTAGCTTGATGGCTCCTTAAGCAAAAGGAAGACTATCATACACGATCTGCCTCCCTTCCTTGCACCAGGTAAGGCAGATCTGTTGCCCACCGAGATCTGCATTGTGACTGAACGGCTGGGATAGCGCTGCCGGTCGGCCTGACACAACACACAGAGCCCCAGATCTTCTGAGGACAGGACTCCTTGCATAATTCCTAGTTTATCTGGAAATTTAGTTGGCAGAACGGAAGCGCATATTCTGGGCGCACTGCCATCTAGTTAGGATCTAAATTCAGTTGTCTGGATTAGCGAAGATAAGGAAAACCTGCCTTCCGAAACACGCCTTTACGTTTTGTATGTAAGCCCTTGTCAAGGCACGTGGCACTAGGGAGGTGGACGGCTGCTCCGTTGTGAGCGAGAGTTGGTATCGGCTCCAATGCCTGTAGATGTTCCAGGCTTCCTGGCATCCACATTGTTTGTGCCAAGATCTTCTCCATCAGACTTGTCTTTACTTCCAAGGAGGCCAGCATCTGAGTAACCGTGCCGACTCTGCTTCCTTACAGCAGGGCCAGTGTAGCACTCAGTGGGGGTAAAAGCCTCCGTCAAGCTGTAAATTGAGCCAGTGCCTTCAAAGTGACCTGCAGAAACTCAGGGATATGTAGTTTGACCTGAACATCCCTTAATTTGTAAACTGGAAAGGAGAGGAGTTTCTATTTTTCCCCTTCTAAGGCGGGCAGTGTTTAAACTCTCTGTTCTGAGGAGACATCCCGATTATTTTGGTTTTTTTCTGGATGTGTATGAGCATATAAAATTTATTCATTCATCGGATGTCGAGAGGCGTAGCAGGTAGATGCTCGGAGCATTCTCTGCCTGCAGCTGGCTGTCTGAAGAGTCGCCGTAGTTCTGCTTTTCCTTCCCGTGCACGGCAGAATGAAGCAGCACCCGTGTATCAGGGCGAGCATGGGAAGCAGCTGCCTGTCCTGGGACGGAACCACACCAAATACAGTAAACAAATTCAGACACCCATTGCTTCCTTGACTGCAAAGAAGAGAGGTGTCATTTGGATTTCTCCAAAGACAACAGAGATGAGGGAAAACTGCCGGATAATTAAGAAGAAAGCCTTCCTGGGGTAAATAAGCGAGGGTATGATTACGGCCGAGTCCAGTATCTCAAAAAAATCACAGTTCTGTTCTGCATCTCTCCAAAGATGCCAGCTCTTACACTAAAGGAAATTGCTGCCGACTCTAATTTTAGTCAGTGCCTGTTGCAATTTGCTACCACTTTAGCTGACAAACAAATGTTCTTATGTGTGCAGAAAGGTTTAAGATGTTTGCTCCAAAGCAAAGTCTTGGCGCAATATGTGAATTACCTTAGCCGCTGAAGGGAATTGGCGAGCTTACCTTTCTGATACAGAACTTGCTCAAGCTCTCGTTGTATCGCAGAACAACCACTTTACTGGGCATGGCTGCGCAGATACAAAGACCATTCTCAACCTGTAAGGGAGATGACAAGCGTGGTTCAGGATGGTAATCCAGAGCACCACCTCACGCCGAGCGCGTGAAACGGATCCGAGTACCTCTTGCCACAAAGAGAACTTGGCAGAGATAGGCAAGTACCTTTTTAAGAGGGTAGTTATTGTGAGTTAGTGAAATAATGAAAAGCCTCTTCACATTCACAAAAGAGAACATGAATTTGAACTGCTCCTATGGCTTCTTTTATACTTGAAAGAAGTGAATTAAAAGATTCAAAGGCTTTCCACAGAAAAACGTTTTGTAAAAAGGGATAAGAAATTCACACAGGTTAGGTCTGAGTTTTGACCCCTGAAACTGTCATCTTAAACATCACTGTGAAACGAACGATGTTCAGTTTGTTATCAAAGTAGGCTGTAGAAGTAATCGTTAATGAGGATTTTTGCTGTGGCTAAATGTTCCGTACTACAATTGGGAATTAATGTAAATATCAAGCGTTAGCGAGTGACGCAAACACCTAAGTAAATTTGCTCGCCTGGAAACTGTTCCGTGCCATTCCAGAACAAACAGTGGATGGAATTCGCTAATTATAAAGGTCAAAATTGAAGTCAACCGTGAGAAGGCAGTTACACTATGCTGCGCTGTATTTCTTATTATGTAGCCGTTTAGGCTATACCATCGCGTCCTCCTGACCGAACTTAGTCATATTAGGAGTAGGTCCTCCATACTGCCTCCAGCTCAGCCTCTCTTCAGCCCCTATACGCTGCTTCTTTGAAGAAAAAGGTTTAGAAGAATACAGATCTTGGATTTGTTGCCAGTGAAATAAAGCTGCTGATTTCGTTCACACTAAACTGGGTGCAGTCTAAGGGTGGTCTGGGGGCATGAGGGAGCCGCATCCTACCTTGCCGGCAGCAAAGAGGTGACATCCTTTGACAGCCTCAAAGACATTTGGGGAGATATCGGGCTGGGCTGGGAGGTGAGACTGGGCGAGAGATTGCTTCACTTTCTTTACATCAACAAGACACAGAGCCCTTTCTTCTCCTGGAAACAAAAACGGTTACATTTTGTCAAGGGAAAACTCCCTATTCTCTACAAAAGTCTCCTCCTCCTCCACCTAAGCAGCAGCGTATCGTTACAGGCTGTTACTGTGGTAACAGCCACAATGCACCACGTAGAATTCATTCCCTATGATTCCCGTTAAAAGTGAAACAGAAAACTTACAAAAACCCAACACGCAACAGGCAGTAAATCCGCTGGGAGAACAGCCATTCTCGGCGTGGATTATTAGTGTTGCTAAGGTCTAGTAAATCACAGTAACAGCGGCCTCGTTAGGACGCTACTCAAAATTAGCCAGGAAGTTTTATTTTACCCTTCAGAACTTCTTAAAAGTAGAAGGTGCGTTAGCCTCTCTGCCAACAGAGCTGGCAATGGATTTCCAAGCAGCGCCCCAACAAACTGCAGTACAGACCAAGCCCCGTCCTCTCAGAAGTCCAGCAACACAGTAACGTAGCCCTCTCCTAATTTTCTGCAAGATTTTCTTGTTTCCAGTTGCTTTTTTCTCTACCACCCTGAAACAACTAAAGCATGGATGGCTTACATCTTTACAAGTGGAAAAATGCAGAACAAACAGAACAAGAGAGAGAATTTGGTTTTCATTCCCTACAAATGTCTTATGGACACTTGATAGTTTGGGCTTTCAGAGGAAGACAACGCCCTCACGTTCAGCATGGCTACGTCAGCGTAGGAGGGATTAGCTCCGGAAAACCACAGATGGCGAGATTAAAGCTGGTGTTCCTTTCATAAGGGAATCTTAAACAAACCATGAAGGAAGTCCCAGTTTTGTTACATGGATTAGCGTTTAGAGCAAGAGAGGTTAAGTTGTTGGCCCTAGGCCACAGGGATCACATTGTGCTCCTCAAATGGTTAACTACATTAAAAAGAAGTAGTGATTAGGAAGAGTTATCCTCACTGATCAGCTCAACACTTTTAAAACTGAACTTAAAATGACAACTAACCCCCGAGCTGGAAATATTTTGTCTCTGGCTCCTCCCTCCCTCAGCTTTGGAAGCTGAGAAATCACTGTCTGGTGAAGGTTTAACTGAGCCTTCATTCACATTTGCATTTACCAGAAAGCCTCAGACAACGCTGCGTTAACCACAGTATTTGATTCCTGACAATATACTGATAAAATAAGCCTGTAAGGAACCTGAAGGAAAGCCCGGCCCTTTGGCAGGGCAGTACTCCCACAGCACAAAGCGATTACCAGGCCTTTACTGCAGGCCGAATGGTAACACCTAGCCCCTACCTGCTATCATGAGTAGCTTCTCCAGATCCTTGATGAGGTGAATTTGGAAGACAGCACCCATTCCTGGGATGTGCGTTAAGGAATTCTTCAGGACATTCAGGGCATAGAGACCTTCTTCTGCACCCACCAGTACTACCTACAGTGACAACAGGAAAAAAACAAAAGCAGCACTACGTGAGGAGAACAAGGAACGCGCCAAGAGCAAGCTTGGACGATACTGTTTACCGGTGAAGAGGAACTACAAACCAACTGACACATACTGCTCGTAAGGTACCATTTCCATGGATGAAACACCCAGTACTCAGAAAGGCCCAACTGAACATTATCAGTACCTGGTCACTGAAGGGCATTGTGCAATTTATGTCCAAACGGTCTTCACCCTCTAGCTTCAGCAGGGAGTTTCCGAGCAATTTCTGCAAATGACAACAAGATTTTTTGTTCTGTTGAGTTAATCTTCATCGCTTTCTCTATTGGTATTTTAACAATGTAAGGTCATCATTTCAGACAGGCAAAAAGCTTGGCACAGATTTCTTTATCTCAGAAAGCCAAAAATTGCAGGGATACCGCCTACAGTAAACTTTTATCTACCTGAAACAGAGTCAGGCAAACCGACCAGAATTAACCTAAACTGCCCCTATCCTTTCCATTTCCCCCTGCCTCCTGCAATGGAGCAGTGAAGTTTTCCTAGGGGAAGGAATAAAAAGAAGTCCAAATGTGGGTGGGAGCATGTATTTTCCTCAGAGACAAAAGGAACGCTAGCATGGGAAGAGAGATGATTTCCCGCTAGTCAGATATTCCCTGCCTCCAGAGCAACATTCTGATATGCAATGCCATAGAATCAAATCTCCCTTTATCAGAAAATACAGGGTTATCAGTGCAACAGTGATGAAAAAGGCTATCCAAAACCAAAACAAATCCATTTAACCTCTTATTCTTGTAAGGAATAAAACTTAAACTAAGAACCACACACCTCCCTCCCCCCCAAGAAAGAGAAAACCCTGACTCCGTAAGAACGGGAGAGGAGGGAGCTCTCTGCTTGTTTCTTTCTTTCAAGGTTTGCTCATTCGATGTGGTACATGATGAGACCGGTTCAACCCACGTCCTAACTGCTCTTTCTTCCTTCGCTGGAATTACAGAGGTATAATTTTGGGATCCTCTTACTACACTCCCCAAGTCTAACGAAGGGTCTTGTGATAAGAAGCACCAGTCTCACGACGAAGTGGTTTCCTGGTACTCATGTGGTACCTCATAAGGCAGAAGTAATAACTTACCTTCAGTTAAACCTCAGTATGTCAAACACCGAAAAATTATTTTTCAAAACTCTGCTCCCTCCCAGAATATTTTATTATTAAATGAAACTTTTATACTCACAGCATCAGCCTCAGCTTTTTCTCTGGAAACTCTCCCACCTGCCACTATTGATTCCAGTGCTGTGACCCAGCGCTGTTTGTCAGGGAAGCTGGGTGCTAACAGGTAGAGTGTTCTACCAGGCCAGCAAGTGGTGTGTGGATGAGACTCCAATTTTAGGATGTATGGCACATCTGAGATGTTATATAGATAGAATAAGACTTAGATTAGTTTTTGGAATATTGTCAGTGGACTCAAAATCAACACCTTTCAGCCTCATTGGAGAGAAGTTGTATTTATCATGACATGTTACCATGGCAATTTCTACATAGGCTTCTCCTTTACAGGTCCTGCACAGGCTAGCTACTTAAAGCTAATATTAGCTGGATGTATGCAATCCATACATACAACGCTGGCTCCACTAAACAGAAATAATTTCTTGCCTTTTATTCGAAAGGGAAAGAAATACCATTGTGAAAAAAAGTGCAAAACCAGCCACTTGACTAAAGTTTTCCCTGTACTGTTCAAGAAAAATCTGTAAAAATCGGTTATGGAAACCTTTGTTTTTAACAATCTGTATCCTTTAATGTTAAAGTCAAGACATACATATTCTTTTCATCAGTTCTATTCAATACATACAAATCGAAACATCAACATTTTTTCAGAATGAGAGATTGTATACACCCCACAGTATTTCTAAGTTAATGACTTTCTGGTCAGAGCACAATGGTGGCATGAATTATCACACTTCACACTTGATAGAGAGCATTGAGAGAAGAAATTTAAATAGACCGAGTGCTTTTAAGTATGTTACAAAACTCTTAAAATTTACTTCCATTTGGCTTGATGATTATATTATGCACAGTTCAACTACCATGACAGAAGCAGCCGCCCATGTGTAACTAAATCTAGATGACTGACCTATTCACCTAACTCAGACAGAGGTCACCTCAAAATTACACAGTTACAGAGTGACAGTTAAAGGGAGAAAATTCTGTTCAGCCAACCAGAATGCCAACTGATGGCAAGCCAGATGAAATCCATTTGACCTCATCTACATAAGATTCTCACCTGTCTTTGCTGTATTGGTAAGTTCAGTAGCTCCTACAGCTCCGTGAACGGTCACATCACCGTCAGGAAGGCAGAGCTCAAATTCCTCCAGAGGCCTCTGTCCGGCTGCAGGGAGAACGGGGAGAAAGAAGTAAGAACACCACACAAGTAAATAGCAAGAAAATAACTGTGACAGCAACATGAAGTGGATACACACTGGATGTTCCACAGCTGGATTATTACGACATACCAGCTAGTAAAACTGTTAAGGGTCTAGAAAAACAACAAGGTTGCCTTATTACAGAGGATTTAGCTAAATTAGGTGTGGCCACAGCAAACAGTAACGATCTTTAAGCCTCTCAACTCACCAAACAATATCTGAAGTACAAAAAAAAATGTTCTTCCTAGAAATGCTAAGTTACCTTCTCTTGCTTCTGCATCATAAATGAGCACTTTCGTTCCCTCCAGGACAATATACTTCCTGTCCCAGCCCTGCTGCCCACGTTTATTATTCCTGAAGAAAACAAGCACAAAGCCATGTTGGATTTTCTGCTTGGATTCTGAATAAAACAAGCATGCAACTCCTAGAAAGACAAATTTCGGTGCTAATCAGTAACTGAAACGGGCATGTACCAATTCTCACATTGTAAGAGCCAGGATAATATAAGGAACCGTTCCAAATGTTTCAGCACCTGATATGGCACCAAGATCCATGTTTATACCTTGGCACTTTCATCCATCCTTCAAGACGCAGACTGCTGCTTGGCTCCTTCAGCTGCAGACCGGGAGAATTCATTTTATCCCGGCAGAACGCTTCAGAGAAGTGCGTGGCATATTCTGCTGGCAGTCCACAAGTCGCTGGCAAGCAAGTTGAGCATTTTGGGTGACACATCACCTGGCATTCTGACAAAAGGACAGAGAAAAACTTCTGTTCAATGACGAAAAAATCATGACACAGCTGCCTCAACTTCTAGTGCACAAACCCCAGCTTTTCCAAGAATCTCCTTCTACTCTAAACCATCAAATGTTTTCTAATGGAGAACGTTTGCACCAGCTAGCTTCGAAGTCTTCATCCTCGGTCCTTTCTTCAGCTTTCACTGCAAATCTGTTCTGGACGGCTGATGCTTTTTCATTCTACCGTCCAGTTACGCTTTGTTTACGCACACGCTCTGCTCTTACCGAGACATTTAGATGCTTGCCGTCCAAAGTGCACAGTATCCAGACACACCGCACATTTTGTTGCTCTCATATTTAGCCCCACGTTAAACCGATGTGGGATATTATGATGCATTCGCTCTTTCAGGCGTCGGCTGTACTCTGGAAGGGACCACATTTATTATGAGGATGAAAACTGTGATAGGGATGAAAATTATAGCAGGTTTTGGCATTTTATGGCCAAGGTAATATAAAGTGACTACGTATCGCTATCAAAGCCCTGCTGAACGTAACACTGTTTTCCTTTGCAATCTGCAAATCTTAAGCTACATTACCACCTCAGTAATTACCTTATACAGATGCACAGAATGTGCCGCTTGAGAACAGACTGCAGAACTGAAATGGCTAATGTTTGGTGTAGCAAGATTATGTCAATCAAACCATCTGAATTTCAAGTCTGCACTCAGCTCCAATTCTTACCATGTGCTAAACTAATCTCTCCATTTTGCTTACAGCTAACAAACCCTTCAACACCTAGACTGTTGGAATCAATACGCAGCAGGCCTTCTCCATACAGCCTTCACGCTAACCATCAGTGCCAGCGTATCTTAAAGCTTACCTAAAATCCCTGTTAGCAGCTCTATACTGAGCAAAGTTTATCCTTCAAGGCATGGTCTTTTACTGATGAACATGATTCTCTTCCCTGCCCGTGCCCTGCCTCTGAGGACACCTGCCCGTGCCGCTGCCACCCATCCTCAGAGCACCCTGGGCCCCCCCAGCCACCTCTGACAGCTGCACCACTTGCTGGGTTTTTCCAGCTAAGGGCTGGAGGTTTTAGTGCAGAGTCTCTGGGTTCAACACTCACTCTGCAATACTGATTAACTGGAAGAATAAATGAACAGAGCCCTCAATCCTTTCATTTTTTCTTAATTAATCCTCTCCCTTCCATTCCCGAGGATATAGAAGGGTATCCCCCTTTTCTAGTTAATAGGATATTAATGTCGTCTTTGACCTGGTATCTTCCTTTTATGCCTAACCGAAGGCTTTCCCCTTTACCAAAAGTCTTGATAGAATCTTTCTGCTCAGCAGAACAAATCTGCAGTTTAGACAAGTAAAAATGTTAACTGCTAAGGAAACAGCCATAAATCCTTTTCACCAATGCAGAGAGTAGTACAGAAAACATACTCCTTTGACAAAAACATGCTCCTAAAACAATTCATGCTAATAATTACTTTATTGCTGACGTTTTCAGAAATAAATTGTATAATCCACACAGAGAATTTTAAACCAAAAACAAAAGCGAAACTTATCATCTAATATTCGTATCATGAAAAAAATCTGGGTTTGCAATTTAGAAAAAAAAAAAAAAAAAGGAGATAGCATTGAAATAGTAGACAGAAAAACAGTAACAGAGAAGTTCAGCAAGAACCTACCCTCTGGCGTGGAAGATTCCTTCCTGCGACTGGAGGGCGGAGCGAGCAAACTGATCGGCGTAGGCTGATGCTCTGGTGAGCGGACTATGGCAGACATGATGATTTGCTGCCTGGCCGTGGCTGGAGTAGATGGATGAGGGTGGTCTGATATTTTCCGATGAGCAGCTATAGATCAGATAAATGCCACTCATTAACATAACCAATACGAAACACTAGTTCATAGCAGTGGTTCTGCGTAACCGTTCAGTGGTTACGACCCGCAGAAGAAAGCGTAGCCTTATTGCACCTTCCCAGCAGCAGATAAGAATTAAACAACCTATGTTACTGCTACAGTGGCACACAATTAAAGGCACGTTTTCAGACCAAAACCGTGCGTCTCCTTCCAGATTCACCTTTTCTGTTAAACCCTACCTTCTTCACGAGCAGATCTGAGTTCAATGCGTGTTTTCTGTAGAGCCTCCTCCAGCTCAGCAGAACGAGCCTTCTCCTTCTCCAGTGCCACTTTCAGCTCATTGTATTGCAGGGGAACCTGTGTGGGTAAAGAAGGGTCCTCTTTCCGCCGACTAAACAGGCCCTAGCAACAGAAACACACAGACAACTCCTAACTCCTAGTAAGAGATGGCTTGAACTAGGCAAAGTGAAACTAGCTAGTGGCAGTCCGGCCAGAGGGCCTAATGGTAATTCTGATATGCGCAAGGATGGATTTTTAGTTCATATTGGCACTGGAGAGAAAAATGTTGAGATATGGATTAATTTAAAGAGGGACGTACGTTACCTGTTAGTACTCACACCTTGAGTTTCCGAAAGCATCTAAACAGAGGATCTCAAAATACGTGGTTAAAATTGAATTACTTAATTCAAAATGACAGAACGGCTTATGACAAAGATGCGACACAGGTCACATCGCCTGACTAAGCAATCCTATGCTGTAAGTGCAAGACAAGCACTCTAGATACACAATGTGTTCACACACATATATACTTACCATTAAAAAAAAAAAGCATGGTTAAAATTCTGTATTCCTACAGCCTCACTCAGGTGTAGCTACCGGGTTGTAACCTAGGTATTGCAGGAATAACAAAATGCTGGAAAAGCCACAAAGAACACATCCTGCCTAGTAAAGTTTGCAACTCAGAATGCTTTTAAATGAGGACACATTTGCATTACACAAAGAAAGATAAAACAGAATATTATGAATACACAGCACGTAACTAATCACAAAACCATCATTTAATTCCGTGCCTCTCAAACCTTTTTCACCCACCTTTTTCTTTTTCGCTGGTTGGTCCATCTTTGCCTGCAGGAAATCAATGAGTTTGGTTTGCTGAGAAATAGTGCCCTCCATTTTCACTTTTTCGTGGGAATAGAGAACCTGTGAACCACACACACGATAAGAAATTTCATCTTAATAGAAGAAACAAACAGATAACTCAATAACAGAACAGAGCTAAAAAATAGCACAAGGAAAGTGTCACACAGAAACAGTGGATCACATCCTAAACCCCCCAGGGAGTGGGGAGTCCGGCCCACTGCTTCCCACCCTCACCTGAATGTTTTCCAGCTGATATTCCAGGTCACTTCGTTCAGTCTTCAGAAGATCTGCCCGATCTAGAGCCTCTTGCAGGCCTTGAGTGAGGCGGAAGATGTGATTCTTTTGTAGATCCATTTGCTGCTGCAGCTTTGCCTGCTGTGAACGGGAAAACAAAGGCCAGTGTTTTGGTTTTGTTGCTTGCTTGTGTTTAAATAAAAGCTATTAAATGTTATCATTCCTTGTAAAATATGCATCATTGCGGAACTTAAAAGTAAACAGACAATTCTTTAAAAGCTGGAAAAATTACAATATTCTAGAAGTTTTCATTCTTTTCAGAATGCATTATGACTAAACAAGCATTTCTGTGCAGTGTATTTACATTAATTTGTAGCAACACTATTTCTTTCAACTGCATGTTCAAGTTATTTGCTTTTTTAAGCTTTTAAAATCTTGTAATGGTTAATAAGACTGCACATACACGAAGAATTTCTCGATGCAATTTTCTCAAGCTCTCTATACAATCACCAGAAGCCATCTCAGTACTTTGTAATAAAAAAAAAATAAAAAATAAAAATCTTTCCTATAAACCAGGATAAACTCCTTCCTCTATAGTCATATGAGATAAGGAAAATTTTGTCCAGTTGTTTACATCTTTGTCTTCAACTAACAACAGAAAAGGGCACATGATAAACTACTCCTAATTCTTTCAGGTTTTGTACTCTCTTGATGAGAAAGTCCCCGAGTATGAAAACCATTAATGCTCATATGTTACAAAGCAAGCGCCAGAAATCTTTCACTGTGATGCATGATGGAGTTCTGAACTCTAGGGTAATTTGTCAGCACTCCGAGCGCACCGAAAGCCTCTGACTGCCCTCTTGAATTGCCTGGAAGCACCCTTCCTTTGTAATCCTCCTCTGCAACCTCTTCCCCCGCTACCCAGCTCTGGCTGCCCGCAATCAGCATCTCACTGATGTGGTGCAGGTGTGTAACCTTGGATCAGACCTCTGTGAACCAAGCTAAATTATGAAAAAAGAGCCCGTGGCACCACCCATGGACCCTCAGCAGACTGGCTCCAGAGCTGGTTTCAAGCTGTGGTCCTTGCACTTGGCCTGGGCAGAGCCGTGCTCCAAGAACGCTGTGCCCGGGCACGGGCCTGGCCTTGCAGGCCTGACCTAGGACGTGCCTCATCACTACAGGCTTCTGTAATCACCGCTGGGCTGCTGGCTGAACCTGATGACCTTCACCAAACCTGCACTGCTCTTCTTGTTCAGGGACTGTGGGACTGTGCCCACGGGCTGCAAGGTCCTGTCCTTGCCCGACTGGCTCCCCGCTCACCTTCCCTTGAGCAGCAGTTCACTTTTACTGCTCCCCGACACGGCCGCACACTTTGCAAAGTTTTAAGTAAAAACAAACCCCAACTCTTAATCTCCCCAGTTATACAGAAGAAGGATGGGTGTATAACGCTGCTATTCACACAACTTCTCCCCCCTCAAGATGTGGAACCTCCTTCTGAAGTTATAACATGAATTTCCAAGGTTACCTCCTCCAGAAGTCTCTGCTTGAGCTCCCTTTCTGTCTCAAGCTTCTGTTGTAAACTGCGTGCATTCATCTCCAACATAGCATGCTTCTTCTCCAGGTCATTGAGCTAGGCAGGTGGGATAGATGGTCAGGATAAGATCAAACACTAATAAATACAGCGTTCCACAATTTTAAAATCCTTCACCTTCACCAAGCACACACTACAGAAAAATGATACAATTATCCTTTACTTACTATAAGGGGAAAACCAACCAAACAACGTTTTGGTACGCCATTGGCTCAAACGCAGATATCAAGCTACTGAAAGACTTTGCTGTACACTCCAGGCATCACAGGCTGCTTTCTGCTTTAGTCTTTCTCAAAAGGAAATCCGAGGTCTTTGGCTTGAAGATAGAATTCTATTCTACGACCTCCAGTCTTTTTAATTTGCTCTAACATCTTGAAAAAGCTGCTCAAGACCACATTTCTACAAGTACTATCTCTAGAAAAGTATCTCATCTAATTATGGAAGTCTAGGGTTGAAAGTTACTTACCTTATCAGAAAGGCTCTCAGCTTTGAGCTTTTGTTCCTTTAGTGCTTGCTGGAGGGCTAGAATCTCTGCCTTGTGTTCTTTGACAGCTAGCTCTACCACCTGGCGAGATTCAGTAATACGCTGATCTGCTCTCACTCTGCATTAAAATGGAAAATAATGTTACCTAACTCCCTTCTGGGCTTGACCTCTTCCTAGCATGCAGTGGCATCCATAACTTTCAGGGGGTTGCCTCAAATTCAAGATGTTACTTTATAAAGCCAGCCTGTTTGCTGCAACGCTTTCCTATTATATAACCCTGTTCCTGCCCTGCTAAACTACAGCCTGAAAATTTCAAGACCCCCCCAGGAACAGTGAGGAGCAAAGACCATTATTCCATACAATAAAGCGGAAGATAATAAATCAAGACATTTTATAAATTACAATGATAAATACCACTCCCCACGAATCGCTCACTTGCAAAGAAACAAAAGGAACAATATCACTGGTGAATGACTATTAACTAATAAACCATTTTTAGCACTACCTCACAAGAATTTATATTTAGTTCCAACTCCCATATCCTATTCTAAATATAATTTCTGTACTAGCTTCTATAGAGCATTTTCATAAAAATTAATAAAAGGGGGAGGAGGGGGGAGAGACCTGCTCTGTTTCTCAGTATCCAGCATCCTCTGCAACTCTCTAACTCGACATTCAAACTGGGACTTCTCATCCCCTAGAACACTTCTCCATGCTTCCCACTGACGCTCTTTCTCCAAGAGTTCATCATTCAGGGCCTCCAAGTCCATTACTTGCTCTTCCAGCATTGTACATGTTGTCTTCAAGGCCTCCATAGTCTAAAAATAAATCCTCCTATCAATTCTCACATCCCACATCAAGCGTGCACTTTAAGCTTCAGCCTTACCATTTAAATTACAGTACATGCAAATTGGCAGCAAACATAAGCTGGTAAATCACAACCCATTTATTTCAAGGCTTCCATACATTCACTTGTGATTGCCGTTAATGTCAGTTCTACCTCATTATGAAAATTTTGAAATTTCCAGGGTCACTAAATTAAAATGAATAATTCTAAATTACAATATCTTCAGAGTGCAAAATTTCTAAATAAAATTCCATAAAAGTACAATGGGAAATACCAAAAATGTCCATTCACTCAACTGCTCTGGGAAGGAAGGCTTAAGTGATAAATGGTTTAAGCCATTGCCCCTGGAAGCATATTCATTCCTTATAGGTTTCCAGATTTAGAAGAATTATTTTGCCTTTCAGATCATTAGCTAGCTAATGTGCTAGCTCTCACAAAGAGATTGTGATCCAGACTTGTAAAGCCTTACTTGTTTCTGACTGGTAAGCTGCATCTCTCTCTCAGTGATCTCCCGACGGAGATGGTCAACTTCACTTCGCAACTGGACAACCTCATCATTGGCCCCTGAGGCCTCATCGAGTTGTTTGGACAGGAAGAAATTCTGATTGTTCAGTTCTGCATTGTCTTCACTGAGCTGGTTCAGCTGCTCTTCCAAATCCGTAATCACCTGCAAAGAAAAAGAAATTAAATTACATGTCAGCGAGAACAGATCTTTGAAAAAGTATTCTCCTCTCACAGAACCATTTATTGCCAAGCAAGGAGACAACCCGACTTTCACATTTTTTCAAATTTAAACAAAAGCAATATTATCTGGTAGATTTTATGCACAGGAGTGTACTTCGATTAGGAATAGTGTTTTGTTTCTTAGAGAAAATAGCTTTTTTCTTTTTTTTTAGAGTATAAATATGCTGCAATGCAATTTATTATCTGAGAGAGAACTGTCACATCTAAAGCACTGGATTGGGAGCCAGGAGTTCAGCTCGTATTCTCAGATCTGCTGCTGACTTACAGCGTGCCTTTGCCAAAGCGCTTTACCTTCTTTTGCCTCAATTTCCCCTCAAGTGAAGTGAGGGTAATACCTCTCAGAGAGGCTCTCGAAGCCTGATATTTAAGAAAACTGAACAAGGGGTGCAACGGAGGCAGCACAATCTGCTGAATCTGCCTAGCAATCGTTTATATTACTGTATGTAACGCTCTATGTAACCAGGAAAAGCAGAAAAAAATTAAGAAATATATTCTATCAAAGTAACAGCATTATGGATGGCAGCATGGGACATATGAAGAAAGAAAAAAGTGTGGCAGCACAAAAGACTAACAGAAAACCAATGAAAAGCAAAAATTCAACAAGGACAATAGCCTTGCCTTTAATGAAGTGGAAGCATCCATTTCTTTAATCAGAATAGCATTACACTACATGCTTTAAACCACATTCCCCTTCAATTTAAGGAAAAATATGAACACGGTGGGCCATTTTCACAGTCCCATTTGATTTTTATGAATGAAAGGCCATGAACACTGGATGGATGAATACCTGTACCTCCTCCTAACTCAAAAACAATGTCATCACAACAGAAGAGAAAGGAACCTCATTATAATCTTGAGATCAGCTTAATAAAGAGAATTTCAGAAACTGGAAAGCTCCATACAATTCATATTCAACTCTTACAAATATGTTCTAGAGGCATTTTTGCCTAGATGTCAAAGAAAAGTGAATAAGATACTTCATTAAATGGGAAAAAGTAAAATCCCAAAGCACAGTTGGCCACACATTCAAATTTAAATGTTCCAATTTCCTACACAAGCCAAGGACTTAAATATCTAAAGCAGCAGAGCACAGAGCATACAGCTCTTCTCAGCTATCTGGAAAGATGACAACCATTTCTTTTTGAAGAATCCGTAACGCATATATTGGCAGCCTTTTACCATGCCTCTCCTAGATCTAAATTAACAGTATTTGATTTCTAAACTGTCAACAGAAAAAGTCCAACTGCCATTACTCCCTGCTGGGTGAAGGGGAGTTCCTGCTACCCATATGTTCAGGGTCAAATCAAAATGCTTCGTACTTTAAAACACAACATTTCTAATGAAAATCTGATGGGGTGGTTGTTTCTTGAGCACTTGTACTGCCCTGGTCAAAGTATACATTTTATTCTGTATTGTATGCGTCGAGTTTTCAAAAGACACAGACCGTATCATAAGGATGTGTCAGTGTCTATATTGCTGTAGGGATAAGACCTTAGAAATGCATTTATACAAACAAAAAGGAACACAAGAGCATTTCTTTTTACAGTGTTTTACCTACCATTCTCACAAATAACATCTGAGGTTTCTAACTGCCAGATAAGATAATCTCTCTTTTTCTTCTACTCGTTTTTCTTTTTCTGTTTGACCACACCACATGTCTAGGCAGTTTTAAGATATATTTTATACATCCATGGTTTCTTCCACATATATTTTACATATTAATACAAGCACTTTCTATAAAAATTATCAAATTAGTTTTGAAATACAAGAAAGCAGAGATGGGGGAAACACAAAATGGATCGAGAAGGTGACGTGCAGAGTTAACGTGTCAAACTACTTAATTTTTTAAAACTGCCTGTATTTCAAGTTGATTTTATCCCTCAAGGGCTGGAAGTTAAGCTCCAATTCACCTTTATTCTATGTGCTGAGACTTTTACTTCTTTCCCTGAATATCACTAAAATTAAACTAGACCATTTTATATTCCACTGTTCCATTTTATCTAGTAGGATATTTCTGGAAAACTTAACACAAATAACAAAGCAGATAAGAAAGAAGGGTTCCAGAAGAAGTGACGTTATCGCCTTTCTTGAATAGTTTCCTAACGGTATATTTATTGACAATTCCAAACTGGCTTGGCTTAAATTCCAAACATGGTATAACCCATATAATGTAATCCATGTCGATTGAGAGATTTTTATTTTTTTTTTTAAGAGAAAAAATTTGTTCTTCTCAGTACAATTTTATTTTTTGCATGGGGAAAGAGGAAATTTGTTGACAAATCCAATTTTTGAAAGCTATCTGCAGCTATGTATAACTCAACAGGGTTACAGAGTTTATAAATGCTATAAAGCCTAAATAGTACTGGGTAATACTGACACAGGAAAATGGGACATAGTGTGATATAAATGCCTGTCCTGGGAACCTAGAGGAAAGAACACACAGATCAGACCACCACATTTGATAGGAAATGTTGTCTTGGGCATACATACATACATGCAGCCTATGCCAGAATCCTGCACCTGAAAAGAGTTAATAGCTTTAGGTATTTTTCTTTACAGTTAAGGAAATCCCCAGGCAAAAAAAAAAAAAAAAATAAATAAACAACCAAAAAACAACCAAACAAATCAACCACCCAACCAACACTGAGCTATTCTGGAGTTAAATTTGAAGTATAGTAAAGGAAAGTCTGTGAGAAACACTACTTTATCCTTTAGAAACCCATAATATAATTACAAAAATCTTCAAATTTGAAGTTTATAAAACAACCCAACACTTGAAAGCTTGGAAAAGCAATTCTGGGCAGCGACTGTAGCTATGCCACTGTATCATCACTCACAGCGCAACTGAAATTTTCTCTTCAATCTATGCACATCTTCATCACAACTAATCCACAAAATAGAGATATAATCTAACTACACCACGCTAATCTCGGCAGATTGTTCACTACATGCCACATCTAAGCGCACAACTTGTCTTTATACTGATCCAGAAGACTGTATCTCATTTTTAGATATTACAGAGCAACCCAAGCACAACAGCTCTTCGGCCAAAGTGACCACGTTCAACACAATTCCCTCCCCGTTGCATAGTTTCAGAAAAGCAAAGTGTTTCTCTATTGCGAGATTGCGCAGATTCGCAGCTATTATACCGGGCCCTACAAACTTCCCAGGCACGGACCACAAATTAAACATCACGGCAACAAGCGGTTCGGGGCCTTGATGATTAGGTGTGCATATCAGACACAATGTACAAAATTTAATCCATATGCTCTACCTATCAAAACCACAGGCAAAATAATGAGGGAAAGGAGAAAAGGAAGCCGCTTTAGAATACTGCTAACTGCAGCTTGCAAACTTCTCCATAACCTTATTCCCTCACGAAGACTCCTCAGTTCTCAGATGGCACCAACAAACACACAGGGAAATGCTAGGACACAGCAAGGTAAACTGTTTCAGGATGCAGTACGTTATTTGGAGTTTAATGCAATTTTTCGTACAACCTTAATTCGGAACTTCCAGACTAATCCATAGTTTTACTCTCTCCATTTCCACTCCTCCCCATCCCCACTAATCTTTACTAGGAAGCTAGCCGTCAGAAGTGAATAGGAAAAAAGAAAAAGCTCTCTCTCAGCCCCAAATGATTGTGAGGAGGAAGCAAGAGCAGGCATCAGACTCGCTTCGTCTTCACCTACTCACGTTTGGACCCGAGAAACAAAGCTTTTCTAGCAGAGAAATACCAAGCATCCTAACGGAGCAGAATACGAAGCCTCTTAATGAGCACCGCTGCAGCCAGATACCAGTCTTGTGTCTCTACCTGTTTGATCGATATATACCAACGAACTCCTCACTTTCTTCCCCTTTCCACAGTCAGACAACATCTGCGACTTGAAACATGCCTTACACGGAGATCTCGGTCTCCAAAAACTCATCATGGCTTCGCTTGAGGGACACTGCTCTCGTTAGGAGCTGCCGAGGAGGACATTGCACAGCCTGCACTCCTCTCCTTCCCACGCCAACCCATCATTAAAACATACAGTCTCCTGCACTCCTCCGTCCTAGTTCCCACAAGATGAGCTGCCTCTGCCAACCATGAGCCTCAGCCCCAAATGACGACGGTGTCATTGTCCACGGTGAAGGTCCCATCAGCCTCTCTCACAGTAACACCTCATCAACGCCCTAGAAGTCTCTGACTTTTTGCCAGGCTACAAAAACTACAAAGCTCCATTTTTGCCTATAGCTGGCATCTGCCATCACGTTTTCTGTGAAATAAGAATCAGGGATAACCCCTCCCACCCCACAGCCATTTTTTTTCTTCTTTTACAAATTTAACAAAGCCATATAAAAGTTTTTGCCTGGGTATTAGCCTTGTTACAAGTGGGCAAGATCCCTTTACTCTGAAACATCATTTAGCATCAAAGTAGGTAACATCTTTAGACAGAATTTTGGAAGTTCTCAAGAACACAGCTTATTCTTGTAGGCCAAGTCATTGAGCCAATATGGAATGAGGATCTTGGACCGAAGTCAGCAGGACTTTATGCGTGACTAAAATGATACATGTGCCTAACGGGCTTGCAGATTTAATGCCTCAATATCCAATCTCATAGGCAAGTGCAGAATCAAGCCTGTTAATGCTTCCGATAGGAACACAAGATGATGACAAAAGAACCTCAAGGAGCGAAGATAAACCTTGTTTTATTGGAGAAATCTTGAATAAATGGAAATGCAATACCCAATTAGTATTATGAAATGCCACTCTCCTTGCTAGAGTAAAAGCAACAGCCCATACCTGAAAAAACCGAGAAGATTCAGATGGTGGTTCGCTGGAATAGCAATAGTATTTTACTAAGCTGAGTGTAAATACTTTATAGGATTCTTTTCTTCTAAATATTTATAGACTTTACCCCCTGCTTACTGAATGGTTTCTTTTTCAAACAATTCTACTATTATTTAGATAACTTAGTTGTATTTTTAACTTCAAATGTGTTGATGATCCAACAAGCAGCCATAATTAAGAGGCAGTTGGAAACAACTGACGAATACATAAATTTTCCTATTTAAGAAAATGCCTTATTTCTAGATCTTTTTCTGATTGCCTGGAAAATACTTTTAACACTCAAATGGATCACATTTTTGATAGAATAATTCTTTAAATGTCGGGAACTAGTCCTTCTCCCTCAACAGATTTGCGGGATCAGCTATCATTGTGAGAAGATTATGATAAAATATTGCTCTTCGTGTTTGCCCACATGCATCTGTGTGTGTGTACAGCAGGTACTACAATTTACAATTTTTATTGTAATTATGTATCCTCTTATTTCTTGCACAACCGAGAGACAGAGAAAGCAAATGCTAACATTTTCTTTTTGACCCCCAACAGTCAAAGAGAGATGTCACAAGATGAAACAATGCACAGCTATCAGAGCAACGGAATATAAATTCACAAACAAGGCAGAAATTACGACCGACAACATGGCAATGGTCTCTATGTATGCATCCCAAGCCACAGCAAATTCAAAATAAACAAATAGGAGAACCTAAAAAATGTCTACGTGGTCAGAGACCTCAGCAAAAGGAAGAACAAGAGTGCAATGAGGGTACAAGGAAAGCAGACACACATTTGAGGTGTAAGCCTTCTCTACAATCAGAAGCTGTGACCTTTGTGAAGCCAGAGAAACAGAAGAAATACCAAAGAAAGCACATTAAGTATTTTTATTTATCTGTTGGACACTATGAAAGTACTGAAGTAATTCAACCTTTCAATTTTTTTTCCCGTCTCATCTTATTTTCATAATTCTTACGCTGTTTTGGGCTTCTCAATAAGATTAAATGAAAAATAATTCCATACCAAAGTTTGCCAGACTAGTTCAAGGAGTTTGTTTCAGCTTAAAAGGGATATCTTTTGAAAACTTGCTAAAAGAATAAACCCACTCATTATCATGCTGCATAAGTAGCAGCGTATTACCATTATTCCCTTGAAGTGTTATCTTATATTAAAAGGCGTATAAATTCTAATCACCTCCAAGGAGCATCACATGGTCAGCCAAAAGCAAAGCCTGCATCATACTGGTCACAATCAGATAAAAATGAGGCTGAAACATGTGGTGAAGGCACCGTAATAAACGTTCCCTGATCCCTCACTGTCAATAGAAGATGGTCCTAGATTTTCTCTCGGTGCTCCTCAGCAGCCAGGATGGACAGCTAGAACTACTCATTACACAGAACAGGAAAGTTTCTATCCATGGTCAATTAAATTATACATGCATTCTCCTGGGCTGGAAAGAGAATGTATGATGAGCACGTATTATTCATTTAGGAACTATTTAATTAATTTCTTATTGATGAGGATGTCTGATCCCACTTATCCCACTGAAGGGCCTTACAATGCACAACACTGTTAGAGATCCTTTTATGCAGAACCTTTGAAGCTCTCGACATTCTTGAAATGTTATGGGTCCCTCTTCACTGCTGGAGATTGTTCACCACACTTACAGAGCCAAAGTGTTGCTAGATAACGAGTTACAACCTCCGAAAGGCAGCCTACCACGCAGTGAAAAGAAGCTACAGATTTTCCACAGCTGGTTTTTGCCTGCACGGAGATCACATAAGCATTTTCATAGAAAGCTGTCGTTCTGCATGAAGGGCAAGACAGAACAAAAGAAGATAGCTATTGAAATAAGATACATGACAGCACATATGGAGCTAGAGGATCCATCTACATAAAAAAAGTAAAGTTTCTTGTGCAGGATTCCTTTTAGATAGAGATTACCACACTTTGGTAAGCTCTACTTCCTCATTTCTTTATATCAGCGTTTTCTATGAACAGAATAGAAGAATCCCCTTGCTTAGTGCTAAAGAACAACTGAGGAAAACAGAGTAATCTCATCCTGAAAAGATATTTCTGAAAGATGAAAACTTGTACATTAGATACTTAGTCCTACAGCATGAAAAATTAAGTTTGAGGAAATCACTGGAAGTAGGGAAAAAATCAAGATTAAAAAAACAGCTGTTGAGCCCTGCTTCCAGGGTGAGGTAAGGAGAAAAAGCCTAGAACGATCGGCAATCGACGCTGATCCAGAGGACTGTGGTCCTTATTCACCACTTTTGTAATTCATGTCATTGGAGGACAGATGCTCTCCATCGACCATCATAAACAAGTTTGAAGATAGTGCTAATCTGCAAGAATCCCTATTGATAGACAAACCCTCGGACACCTCCTAGACTGATGAAATGAATCTAAACACCACATCAAAAGATCTCAAATTAAGATCCTAGAGTCCCCTCTGCTCTTTGAGCAGATGACTACGTGTCAATGTATTATTCGGAACCATAACACTTCTTGCCTCTTGAAACAGTGTTAAAGTCCTCCTTAAAACCCAGAGTAGCATTAAGGCTCTTCCACTCTGGCCTAGATCTACAATGCAGCTCAGGATTTGGACAGGCAGATCTTTTCTTCTTGTGAGCAGAAAAGATCTTCACCTACAATCATTTTTTGCAGCTGCTACACCATTCTTATTAGCTGCACTGCAATGAGATATTTTAATTTACTTTCTTCTCCAAAAAGAAGAATAGCATCAATTTCATGATCAGACAAAAACCTCAAAACTGAGGTTTACCTGAAACCTAAAGGAAATCAAATCCAATCCGTCTAGCTCCTGCTAACACCTTGAAGCCAGAAGTCCACATGAGGAACTAGTGTCATCAAGGATTAAATCAGTAAATTGTTTCTTTCTTTATCCTTAATTTCAAAATAATTCAATGATCTGTATTTAATACTCACTGTGCAGCTATTACGAAGGGCTTCAAATTTACGCTGGATTTCATCTCTATGTGCCTAAAGGAGGTAAGAAGTTAATCATCAATTTTTCATACATTAGAATTCGAATCCAACAGCTGTTGCTAAACAAACTGTAGAACAATCTACCAGCAAGCAAAGTTTGGAAGGCAGATGCTGCAGGCTATGAAAGCACTCTGTAGTGGCAAAGAACTGATTAGCAAAAGTCACATCCTACTTAATCAAAATGCACTTATGCTCCCAATTCTGAACTACTTTAGAAAAAATGTACAAACTTGAGAACTGAATTACGTAAAAGGTTCCATCTGAAATGGTCACCAGAAGACACGTCGATTCCGTGTTAAGTTTGTACATTCTTGACATTTAGCTTTGAGTTGGTTTTACTTCCATATCCAGATTGGTATTTCATATAAAATAAATACTGCATACAATTTAACGCTTGCAAAGAAAAACTATAAGGAAGTAGTATGCAAGCTATCCCAAACAGCTCTGCCAATCTACCTGAGTCCTACCACAAAGTACCATTTAATCCTGAGCCTCTCTAAAAAGCAGCAATGAAACATAATAATCAATTCTTTGGAAGACAGCATCCAAAGTATGGAAAAGTGCAAACACTTATTTTAAAGAATGCAGTATTGCATGCACCATTTTACCTCCTAATTTACAAGCAAAGCATGACACAGCAAAAGTTCTTGTTTCAGCCTCATGGCCTCTCTCAAAATTCAAACTGATTTAACAAGTGTCTAATGTCATATGCTATCTGAAAACTTAACAAATGAAAGGTTAGTGCACTAGCACATCCAGCCACCTTTCTTCATTCAGAACATTTTCCTTGGAGCCAAGAGACTAAACAGGAAAAAAAACTGTTCAGCAGAAGTCAAATATGAGAGCTGAAAAGCTATCTTACCGCACCAGGCAATGTGAAAAATAAAAAAAGGATATTAAAAAATCCGTAACAGAAATACTCCCAAGCCCACCGAACTGGACTATCTTACAACAGCTGGTCCAAAAGCACTACCATTTTGCCAAATTAACTGAAGCAATAACTGAGTGAACACAGGTCATAAATATTCATCTGGTGGTGTAGGGTAAGGATATCGAGCACATCGCCATGCCCTTGGCAGTGATATCGGTTGTTAAGCAAAGCTTTCAGCTGGGAGGGGACCACCTCAGTTTTGAGCAAAACTGATGCCATGTTCTATTCAGTTATTCTTAAGCCTTGATGTTGCTGCTGCACTTTCCCAGCATGTACCCACATTAGAACAACTCTGAGTGAACGGTTCTGCCATTCATCTTCCCAAAGCATCAACAAAAGACAAGCACCTATCTCAGCTCAGCTCACCATCCGTTCCGAAAAATAGCAATGGCAGAAATATTCGGAACAGTTCTTTGATCAAATGCCACTGGAGCAAGAGAATGCACATTTTCAACACTTCAAAATAAGTGGATCTGAAGGTCATTTAAAACTGCTGCTCAAGGGGGGTTAGCTGGTAGCAGGTCATATACTTCTCCACTCGCTCCCCCCACAGCCCTGTGAATCTTTTATGAAGGAAATATTTCTTAGAATCAAGCAGTTTGAAAGCATCTTTTTGCACTCAAGAGACAGCAACCAGCGGCATATAATTTAGAATTCCATTTACTGGGAGTGGGGGGGAACTGAACTTCTTTTTTTCCTTTATATCGTTCACACGCCTCACCAGAGACTGAAAGACACGCATGACAATTTTTAATTAGATAAGCATTGGGATAAAATTCTGTGCTGACCACACTATTTTCCTAGGAATTTGGGTTCCTCCCCCCCCCGAATAAGTATCCTCAAAGCAGGGTAACTGACAGAAAAAAAAAAAATCATCAAAAAACATTTATGATCATCAAGTACTTTCAAACTCATGAGATATTATTTAAATAAGTAAATCACAGAGTAAAACTCCCAAAAATAACAACTTTGTATGCAACTTTCACTTCATCACAAAAGTAATAATGCTTTTACAAACAATCAATCAGTTTTGGCAGCAATGAACCACTACTTGGAAGCATTCATATGGTTTAAGATAGTAAGACAGACAAAATTTGACATTTTAGCCATTCCTGCCTCTACCAACACAAGGCACAAGTCATATCTTGTTCTGAAAATTAAAAATTAAACAGTATAAATTCATCTTAAGTTCTTTATGAAACATGCACCTACATAATTCTAATTCGTATCTATAGTTCACAGTATGAATTTTAGGGCTCACCGTGAGAGCTTGAATCTCTTCCTCTGCCTCAGCTGTGGTCTCCTCTAGTTCAGTTTTGGCTTCGCGGAGCTGATTCTCCAGGGCTGTCCGTGCAGCCTGCAGCCCAGTAATTTGAGATTCCCGCTCCTGGAGCGTCAGCTGCAATTCTGTCAACTGCCTTTTGAGTTCCAGCTTTTGTTCTTCATGCTCTAGGCTAACCTGAAGAAAAAGCAGCATCCAAATCTAAGTTACTAACAAAGAAAATATAGATAGTGTAATCTCATTTCAGACCTCACTTTAAGATGCCACTGCCACGTCTATCCCAAAAATCACATCTTGACAGATTGCTCAAGTCACTGACAAGTCCAGGACGCAGCTTTGTCTACTACCTAAAAACTGCTGGTTTGCTTTGAAAAAGGTTAAAAGCAACCCGGCATTTTGAAACAAGTGCCCAAGAGTAGTTCCAGCTGTGACTCCACTATCACATATCAAACGTTGATATAAAAAGCATGAAAGTTGAAGAAGTTTATAATGAACTTTCTTCACTGAAATTGAGAATCTTTAAGAATCTTTATTTGAGAACTTAGGCATAAACATCAATACTAATCTTTACGTGTATGCAAACATACATTTTGCAATTGACTTCCATATTTCATTTTCCCTTCAGATTCTTTTTAAGTAAACCAACCAGATCATCTGGCTCCGGATTTATTCGAATGGCTTCTGCTGAAGGTTTTCTTGAGGCATACTCAGGGATAAACATGTCATTTCCAGACACGGATAAGATATGAACAAGCAGCAGAACAGATCTCAGTGCTCAAAATCAATTCCAAACCTTAGCACCTTCTTCAGGCTGCCTGCTATCCCAAGTGAATCTGTCTGTTGTGCCGTAGATGCGCGACAAGCCTGCCAGCAATCTTACCCTGCTCCCAACCAACTTCCAGTCAAACAAGGACACGTGTTGGTCGTCCAGCCCTCGTAGCCTAAGGCAAGATTTCAGTCTTAGCTGAAAATTAGTGGAGTGAGACTGGAGAAGGTAAAAGAAGATCTGAAGTGGATCCAAACTAGTCGATACAAAATTAAAAATGAAGCACAGCCCACAAATTTTTAAAAATGCAGATTTTCATATTACTGTAACGTTTCCTTTCCAGAATACTTGCGGAAAATGTGCACAAAGCAACAGGTCTCCTGTTTTCTTACAGCAATTCTGCGGTGTCCTTTGCTTTCTATTCTGTAGACTCTAAGGCTACGGTTAAGATGGTCATTGTACATAGCTACTCTAGCTGGACAACATCATAAGGATATGGTGTACAAAACCCATGATTCTGAGAAAGCAAGATGATATAAAAGCTCACATTCAGTGAGGCCTAAGAATGACAAATCCTTAATACTTACTTTTATCTCCTGCTAATGAGCAACTTGAATTTTTTTTTTTTAGGGTTTGGTTTTTTTTTTCCTCCTAGGGGAAAAAAAGTACTGCTAGACCAAACTACATTAATACACCTTAAAATACTATTTTTTATGACACACAGAACTAAAACAACTTAGTTCTTATTCTCGCTATAATACTCAAAATGGGGTACGTTCAAGTAAGTTTGTTTGGAGGGATTAAAGCCAAGTTTTCACCTCTCGCAGCCTCGTCTCTAGCTCCAGCAGGCGGTTCTTGTCAGTGTGATCTTGGTGACTCATCTTTTCCAATTGTTCTTCTAATTTTCGATTCTGGGCCTCTAACTTTCCAGCTTGCGTTTCCAAGTAGAACTTCTGTTGTCTGAGCTCTGAAATCATCTCCTCTTGGGCTTTCCTGAGAGGAGAAAGGCACAAGTGACAAACCCAAAATGTCCTTAACATATGTCCTCTCACCGGGGTGAAGTAAGGCATAATGTACAAGTTTCCTGTTAAGTAGAATAGTTAAGTTCATAGCCTAAATTCTACATCCCAACCAAAAAAAAAAGTCAGCTCTTTATTCCTGTCTGCAAAAGATCCGCGTACTAGTGCATTCATCAACATATGCCCAGAGCACTAAAATTCCATGTTTGCAAGTTGCACAGAAAAATTAATCTTGTACATGGTAATCCACAACAATATTTAAGCTACAATTCATTCTTCCCATTTCACCAACTCCTTGTTACATCTTTTTCTATACAAGAAAAATAAATGCTAAGAATAGTCACTTCCACACAATGTATTTCCATGAGATAAGAGAAACCCTACGGTTTAGGGTTTGGGGGGGCAGTCTGTTGTGGGTTGTTTTGCTGGGGGTTTTTTTGTAAGTTGTAATGGACCTCGAACTTGACCTACATCGACGCGAAGCTTTGTTGTCTCTGATCAAAGTCAATCTACAAAGTGAACAAAAATAATTACTTGTGCTCATAAGAATTTTGAGAGCTGGCAACGATTAATTATTACCCTAAGAATTTGAAATGGATACCCTCATAAAAAAAAAAAAAAAAAAAAAAAGGGGAAAAAGGAAAAAAAGGTCTTTCTACATTATTTACAATTCCTGGAATCATTTTATCATGCATTGGAATATTCTGTGTCATAGTGCGCTTTCTACTTAGAAGTCTCACAAAGCTCTACATATATTAATGAATTAATATTTTAAGAAGTTCACTGTGAGATAAGCTGTTATTAATCCTATCCCAGAGAAATTATGTGGGTTGCCCAAGATCAAATAGGAAGACTTAACAAAACTAAAAATAGAACTTAAGTCTTATTTTTTCCCCAAAAATTTTAAAGGGAACCCCCCAAAAAAAAAAAAAAAAAAAAAAAAGGGGAAAAAGGAAAAAAAGGTCTTTCTACATTATTTACAATTCCTGGAATCATTTTATCATGCATTGGAATATTCTGTGTCATAGTGCGCTTTCTACTTAGAAGTCTCACAAAGCTCTACATATATTAATGAATTAATATTTTAAGAAGTTCACTGTGAGATAAGCTGTTATTAATCCTATCCCAGAGAAATTATGTGGGTTGCCCAAGATCAAATAGGAAGACTTAACAAAACTAAAAATAGAACTTAAGTCTTCTGACTCACATTTCTGTGCATTGCACACAAACCCACCCTTTCACCCTTTCTCTTTTTTTTTTTTTTAATTTACCTCTACAGATTATTGCCAGCCAGAACTGTCAAACGGTGTTATTTCGCTTCCTCCTGTTTACTGGGCTATCTTCTCAGGAACCTGATAATCATTAGTTTCCTCAGACACTGATGGAACAAAAGCTAGCAGAGTTCCCCTCTCCTCTGAAGGGTTTAATCACTAGTTCTCCTCTTCAAACATGCTCAGATTAGCTGCAGCTTTTGTGGATTCAAAATACAGCCCAACAACACATTTATACGTTTTCACAAAATAAGCACAAATTCATTAGCTATCTGCATGCATAATAAAGCAATTTTCTCTTAAAACGTTGTTAATTCTGTACTATCTTCTACGAATCCTGCAAAATTATGTTTCTTGCCAATATGTCTCTCAATAATCTACTCTAAGTCGTATGTTAAAACTTTTTCTTTTTTTTTGTTATTTTCTATGGATCTCCAGTCAAGTGTCCTGCTCTCAGAGGATGCATCTAGCTCAGCTAAGTTCTTACACTCAGTTCAGCACCAATGACTGCGACATTAGACCTTACATATACTTCCCAGGTACACGGTGAGAAAACACTTCTGTTTTATTTCAGACTGACAGTAAGTTATGGCTTTTGCTGCCTCAACAAAGTTCCTGGGTGATTAACTGGAGGTCATCTGGAGCATAAAGCAACACAATTAAATTTCTCAGTTATTTCTGTGAATAGTTTTGGCTGCTCAGACTAACATAACTTGCCAGATATTTGAAATACAATAAAAATTGGAGCCATTACATATCTGGATGCATAATCACCACTGAAAAGGAAAAAAACCAAAGCAACTCTTTGCCAAAATTCATCCTTGCTTGATTCTATTCAATATTATAGGTGAATCTATCCAAGCGCTTCCCACAGAGACACTACCTGATATTGCATCCAGCACTTGACGGACACCGAAAACCTTTCTGCAGACAGCCAAAGCTGATGAATCTCTTAACTCAGTAAGAGCACATACTACTTTAGGCCTACCTTGCAGGACATAACAAACAATCCGTGCTTTCTCCTACACATGAAGTAGAATGCCTTTGTCACTTACGAAGGAAAAATATCATTATAAGGACAAGGAATCTCAGCTAAAATCCAAAGTAAAATAAAGTTCAGGCAGACAAAAAGATCTGACACAGATTTCCTCTGTGATTAACAAATAACAATTCACCACAAAAACAATTGCTGATTACACAGCGATTCAAGATGACATTAGACCTTGACCAGTAGGACACCCCAAAAACGCTGAACTATTTCACTGCTCGTTGATGAGAACTAAAGACAGGCTGAAGCCCAGAAGGCAACAGATATATGCAAGTGCTATCTGGGTTAGGAAGAAAACAAAATTAATTGAAGCAGCATTCTGAAGCTGGGATATCTCCTACTTCACATTACTTCTGCCCATCTCAGTAACAAAATATCTCACTCTCGCAATCAGCAATTCAAAAACATGCAGAAAAAACTCTTGGCTTAAAAAAAAAAAATCTAGTTTTCTTACTTGTCTTCTCACCCATCAGGGCAGGATGGAACGTTTGTGAAAGAAAAGTGTTTAATGTTTTCAATTTCAACATCATGTAACTGTCACAGGAATCAAGGAAAATATAAATGCTAGCAATATGTACGATCAAAAAAGGAATATATGCTTCTCCAGAGGTATTTCAGACATTAAAATTATTAGCTTTCATTTAACGTGTTTGGTAAACCTGCACAAAGCACCAGCCTTAGGAAAGGCTCCAAAGTAAACATTGTAATACAAACCAATTTTCCTAGTCATGTTTGAGGAAACACAAAATACGCAGTGAACCACAACGATTTGAAGAACAAGCGTACTTTGGCGTCACTGAAAAACAAGCAGGGAGCACAGCAGGCCGGCGAAAAAGAACCACTTTTACATGAAGAGAACGGATCTCGCTGAGAACTGTTCAGTAGTGACCAGTACGATAGCAGTTGCTGTACTTACATGTTCCTCTGGGTAAAGAGGCTGCTATTTGCTGCCAGTTTATTGGCCTCAGACAATTCCACTATTCTCTGCTCCAGCGACCTAATCTTTGAATCCATTGCATTGATCATCTGAAACAGAGCAATGTGCCTTTGAGACTGCACAATAGAAGTGATTATAAAAACGTTTAAAAAAAAAAAGCCTGAACTTTCTCCAGAAACAAAAAAAAGTAAAAGAAAACTGATCAAATGGCCAAAAGAGCATCACAAATGCAATTACTGGAGCTATTTACAACTGCTTTCTACTTCTTTAATATTAGGAGAAAGCAACTATTACATTATCAATGCACAAAATGATGGGTACGCAGCAAGCTACGTGGCTACTTTTAAGGAAATATTCTTGAAGATACCTTCAATTAAAAAACCCATGTTTTTCAAAATTAGTATTAATTGGTGGATTTTCTCCAGAACAGCTCAGCAGCACTACAAAACCTCAGACATGATTATCTTGCTTGAGATCAGAGTCTCAGAAAGCTGCTCTTAAAATGCTTTGATTTCCAATTCAACTATACATACCGCCTTCTGTTCAGCCAGGACTTTACATTTCTCACGTGCTTCTTCTTCATGTCTTCTGAGCATATTCTCAAGTGCTTCCTTATCTGCAAGATCTTTCTTCATCTGATTTTCCAACACCTAAATGAAGACATTTCTTTTGTCTAAATTATATCTGTTTCACTGGGTAAAGGGCAAGCAGAAAGAAAATCATCAAGAAAGAAAGAATTTTTTTGAAGCTATTGATCATATCTCGAGCAAAATTAAACCCAAGATGCAATGGCATGAAATCCATGGAGGAGCAAACTCCAAAAAAGAGCACTCCCTCAGTTATCTCTGAAGATTGAATTTAATGATGGAATTTTATGAAGACATGGAAATACTGTCGATTTTTTTAATTATTAAGTCATATAAACTGTGTTCAGGAAATATTCCAGACTAATGCAGCAGAAACCAGAACAACTCTATACCCCACTATGTACGGTAGAGGAAGCAAGGAAGCGCACATCCTTTGGCTGCCCTACCAATATGGCTCACAGAAGTCATCCGTAAGTTCCCTAAGTACGCCTGAGAAGGCAACTGAGACCCCGTGAATTCTTCAAGTCGGAGACACCAAATGAAACAGCTAAGGAAAAGATTTCTTTTTGTGGCACGAATACCTGTCATTAGGAACAGGACTAAAATAACTGTTACATTTTTTTAAAAACGCATGTTATGTATGTATGTCCGGAGCTTTAAATCAGTTGTTAAACTGAAGGTCATTTCCTTCAAAGACAAGTTTTCAAAGGCACAAAGTCTGGACACCACAGGGTAATTTTTACGGTTCCAGTTACAAACATCCCATGTCCTCTTTCATCCCTTTGAACCTTTTTCACCTGGCTTCCTGACTCCTCCTACTAACCCCTGTATCATACGTCCCCGTAATACACTGGCTCCCTTTTTCGTTTAATTCTTTTTCCAATCCCTATCCTCTTTTCCGGTTTTTATGTCACCACTTCTCTTTTCCCAACATCTGCCTCTGATCTCCCTGCTTTCTATCGCTGTCCTCTCATTACTGATTACCACATGCTCTGGGCTTCCAGGAAACCTTCTCACTTCTCTTCTTTCCCTTCGTATTTCTCCCATAGAAATTCCTTCTCTCCTCTTAAATACTACATCCTCTCACATTTAAGCTGAAATACAGAATTAAAGCCCTAGGTAAACGTGCTAGATAAACATTGCTGAAAACAGATTATGCTTAGTAGAAACAAAGATTCTTACAAAATGCATTCACTGGCTGACGTACTGCAGGTTCTTTAGAAAAATCCTTAGCCAGTACACATACTCCTGTTTCCCAATTTGTTTTTCCTAATTTTAGATGGTGTCTATGATTCTATTTCTAACTGTTTGTTAAAGTCTTATGCTACCCTGGAAAAGACAAAAACAAAGTGGGTGGTTTCTGTGGCTTCTTGGCAGATGTTACAGCTCCAAGAAGATGGAATTTCGGAAATGCTCTAGTATTTGCCAAATTTAAAACTTGCAGGTAGGCTGTGTGAATACTCTTAGAAAATCATCAGTAGGAACCGAAAGCTTTTTCAGGATGTGAGATCCAATAGCATTAAGTAAGTATTATTTAGTCAGCAATAGTCAAACTACAATCAACAACTGCCTGCCTATAGTTCTGACTTCAAATGCCACCTCTTTTAGTGCAGTGCTAAGGACAGATAAGGTCCAATGGCACAGACTAGAAGAAAAACTTATTCAGATTCCACCAAGCTCTCTGAACGTTTCAGTGGGGGTAAGCAAGAAGGCAACTCATAAGACAAAGCAATCAGAGCCTAAGGGCAACTGGTTTTCCCTGAACTCATTCTACCCACAAAAGCTTGTAGGAAGGTGATAAGAAGATATTTTTACTTTGAGTTTTTCCTCATAGAATTGTTCCTTCTGTTTCAGCTGCAACTCCAGATGTTGTGCTGCGATCTGAGCCTCACGATGCTTTTCTTCCAGCTCCTAAAAGCAGAGATTCATATTCAGACACAAAAAATAGTAGGTGCTGTGTGTATGTGTTACACAGGTATCAAACACTCATTCATTCTCTTTTTTAAGGCTTCACACTATAAAAATCCCAAGACCAGGGCTGTCGTAGTAAAAAAAAAACCAAACAACATTATGAGAGCCGCAGATTTAAGCTTTGCATATTGCTGCTGACCCAGCTACTGTAGAGCAGATACACTGCTAAAGACAAAGATTTCTACTTCGGCGGTAAAAATTTCCATTTCCCAGTAAATATTCCCAAAGATGGGCCAAGGATGGCTTGTGAAAACAAGCAGTTATAAACACTTCATAGCTGCAGTGGCATCACAGGAAGTTCAGATCTATTTTTAACAAGGTCTCTCACTTGTTTTCTCACAGAAGACCTCAATAACGGGGCACTGCTGTCTGTGCTTTTCATTCTACATTCATAGAGTGGGAATAGAATTTACTTTGCTATATTCCTCAGACGGATGTTGTCAGAACAACTATAAATTGCTTGGAAAATGTAAAGTGCAGGATGCAATATATATGGTAGAACATGCCAGAATATTTTTAATCTCCTTACTTCACATTAGATAGTTTGAGCCATGCACAGTAAGGACTTAAATAATTTTGTACCTCAGAAGTTAGCTATTTCTGCTGCTGACTATATTATCCAGGATATATCTATAATCGCCTTTCAACAGGACACCTCACAAGAGCTGAGCTTAGAACTTTATGCTCGTTCATTGTCATATTTGCCATTCCAACAATTTCCTTAGAACAAGAGGCAGATCCAGGTCTGTCGTTCACTACCACTGGGTTGACTCTTGCACAGCAAGTTCAGGTTTTGGGATGCACCCAGGTCCACTCTCTGCCTTCGTTCCTGCATAGCACAGGAGAATTTCCTCATATTTCTACTTTAGCTCTTTTCATATTCTCTTTTCCGATCTTCCTCATCTTGAAAACGTATGAAGACTTCTTTGCTCCAGTAATTGCAGTAGACCTATTTTTCCAGAAGTGCGAATCAAAGAGGAGGTTCACCAAAAGTAGGTCATCTACAGTGCCTCGTACCCAACACTTCTGCAAGGAATGGAGATTGCTGCTTTTTGCAATTGAAATATGTCTCCCAGCAACAAGAGGGACAACTCACCTCCCCCAGAAGCCCACACGTTTCAGGTCCTGGCAGAGAATCAGACAATCAGATCAGCAGCAGCTTCAAAGCTACCAGCATCAGACTGCTCATATTGTAGCAGAAGCTTCACCAGTTTCTGCAGTGGCACTTAACAGCCAGTGTGGGCTTAAAAAGGTAATCTCTTACCATTCCAGTTCGCGCTTAGTGTTCTCTATGTAGCGCTAACTTTGTTATTAGCATCATAGCAATGAGCTACACTTTCAAGCAGTAATAAGCATCTTCTCTAATTTGTTTCTTACTTCTTATCCAGTTCTGTACAGGCAGATCAGCAGGTACTTCTCAGGTACTGCTACATGAGTGTACATGAAACCAATGCCTTCATTCAATGATTTCCACCTTATTCTATGCAATTTTGTATCTTCAGCTCCCTTCCTTCCTACTTTTCTATACCAGGAAAAGTCAAAAGTGTTTGAAGAGATCAACTTGAGGGAACAAACAGGGTAGAAATGGAGGAAAAAAGACAACTGTTACCCTGTGCTCCCAGATCAGAGCTGCAAGGGACTAGGAAAGACTCTGTAGCATTATTTCTTCAATGCCCGTTTGACTTTTTTATAAAATACTTCTGTGCCTCTCCAACATTCTGTCAGAACTCCATGGAAACTATCCATAAGAAGAGCTAAACATATCCCATGGTGTAAAACAATTAGTCGATATTTCTGCATTCCCTTCCAGTTTTTCCTCCACAGAGAACGTAATCAACACCAAGGAACAATCCCCAAATACACACACGAGGCTTATGAAACAATTCAAAGTTTTACACTATTTCTAAACATAAAGTTGGCTCTGGGCTCAGCAAAACCATAGACTCCCACTCACCATGCACTCATGTTATCAAAACAATTTGAAAGAAACAGCACTACTAAAGAACTGATTCTACCTTTTCTTGAGAGCGCTCAGGCGTTCTGATGCTAAAGTCTACATGTGCAGCGATTACCCAGAACAAGCATGGGTCATCTGTTGACTCCAAATACGGTTATTTATACATTGCCATTTGGCCTTCCTCAGGGTTATCTATGCTCAGGATCGCTACCAATAAAACGTAATCTTTATTTCCTTGTCATATTGGCAACACAGAAAGAGAACTCATGCGAAACACAAAATGAATTTAATTATTCCACTACAAAATTATGCTTCCTGCCCCAGGGAGGTAAAAGTATGAGAAACACCCTCTGCTTGATTTGCTGTAGACTGACGTACCAACTCGCTATAAAGATTTAATACGTTGAACAAGGAGAGAAACAAGAAATTGCCAACAGAGAAGGTATGTGGGTGAAAATGGATTCCTGACAAATATTATCTTTGGAGACGAACAGTTTAGATGACTAATTTCTCTCTGCTTCAAAATGTAAGCATTTCAAGTAGATCTGACCTCTAAATTCCTTTGCAATTTAGTTTAAAAGCTAGATATCAATGTTTTTATTGTTGCAGTATCCTGTCCTGAGAAAGTTTTATTTCTGAAACAATCGTTAGGTAATGAATTTAAAGTTGACTTAAAAGTGCTCCCACTGAGACAACTAAAATTTCAAAATAGGATTACGGCTAAAGGTACAGGAGTGAGTTTGTAACTAAAGGTGCAAACAGAATTTGAGCACTTAAGCTTTCCCCAGTATGACTGCTACAAGAAACAAATCCCTTTATTCAACAATTTCCACCTTATTCAGTGCAATTCTATGTCTTCTGTTCCTTTCCTACCCCTTTCTTACAAACTCTTACCCTTATCTTTCATTTTCACCTCTGCTCACCAGAATTTTTTCTGCCATCTGTTGAATCTGTTGAGATTTAGTTTGAATATCTTCCTTTAGTCGGTTTTCTCTTCGTTCCACAGTCTCTAATCTCTTCACCTGATTCTCCAGAGAATGGCGCCGTTCCTGTAGAGCAATTATTAACTGCCATTTAGGCTAACCAACTCTGCATTATCACAAAGCAATGAGTAGTTTCTAGAAAAAGTCAGCTGAAGCAGTCAATATGTGATTGTCTTTCATGTTTGAAATCCTCATCATGCCTCAAATCCCTTATGCTAACCACATGTCCTCATTGACTCCTCACAGAAAATAAAAAGCCTCTCTGTTTTCTTCAGAGAAACACATGCTTTTTAATTAAAAATGGATTCATGTCTAACATCACTTTCCCATGAATAGTTACTAAACTGAGACACAGCCCAATAACTAATTTCCTCTAGACAGACATTCTCCACTCACCTCCGCTTCAAGCAATTTCTTCTTCATGCTTTCATTAGAATCTTCCCGATTCTGCAGTTTCTCTAACTCCTTCTCAGCTCTCTCCTTTGCTTGACGGATATTCTGAAGAAGTTCAGTTGCCTCTGAGCTAGCTTTCACAGCCTAAAGGTCCAAAGGAAGAAAAAAAAAAAAAAAGTAAAAAAAGGTATTATAAGAAAAAAACACACACAAAAACTTGGTATGTGAAAAAGTTCATAACCTCGAGATGGGCAACATTCTGAACAAAATTGCTACAGAACTTTGGCCTAGCAGTGTAAAATTAAGACAACCTACAAACATGTGCAGGAACCCAAATTCTAACTTCTATTACATAATTCTTTTCCGTTTCACAAAAAACTGAAAATCTAGGAGATCTACATGTTTGTCTTGCTGTACCGCGAGTTTCTAATTGTCTCTACGTACTGAAAGCAAAGTCTACCCCCAAATTCAGCTCAAGTTCTTGGAAAGAACTCACAAAATACTGTTACTAAAACACTAGGACAATAACCTATTGGCCTACAGATAATTCCTTAGAATTAACGAAAGGAGAAAAGGGGAGGGAGGATTAAAACATGACTGTTTTGCAATATTAGAAGTACTATTTCTACACAGTTTTGGCCTCTTATTCATATTCTAGATCACTAACCCTTGAAAAAGCTCTCTCTCAGCAGGTGCCAAGTTTGAAAAGTGCTCTCAGCAGATTATGATGACAACCCCTTTCTTTTCTGCTGAAAGATCCCAATAAGAGAAGTTCCTCTGCTGTCCTTACAGTGCCTTCTTAAGTGACAGACTGACCACAGCTGCAAACAGGAGATATTATGCACTCCCTTCAGCTTACGTTGCTAAGGTATTTTAATTCTGTTGTGAATCCTTATCATTCAACACTTTTTACTGTGAATAACTGAACTGGAAAGTGATTTTGCAATTCAAAACAGAGTATACTGGGAGACTAAACCAAGTCCAACATGTATTTTACTACTGAGTTAAAAACATCTGAACCCTGTCTTCAGAAGCAAGGGACCAGTGCATTGCATACGGCATACCCAAACTGGCCTTTTAATTAGAATTTCTCTACGCTACTCCAGTTCTGACTCAGTTTCATTTGTAAAAATAAACACTGTTGACATGTCTCAAGAGCCAAAAGCATATTGAGAACACCAATGCTTTCAGATACCAGTTCCCTCCCCCTTTTCCTTATCATCCCCCATGCTATGACTAATTCTATTTTTGAGAATAAAACAAAGTGCATCCCTCCTCTGTGTTAACGTTTCACTGAAAAATCTTGTGAAAGATTCACTTTCACCACGCAGACATTACCTTTGTCAGCTTTTCCTGCAGCTCCTGGATTTTGGCCTGCAAAGAGTGTCATAAAACCAAAAAGGAAAAAAAATGCTCTCTACTTATGATACCACATTCATTTTAATTCACTTCCCAAAAATCTTTGTTTCTCCATACGAATTCCAATACACTAAAATGCTCCTTGGCAAATCTACTCCCATTTTACTAACGACTGGATGAGTTCATATTTTAGTCACCAAGTAGATTGTTCAGTGTGAGAACTCTCAGATTTTTTTTTTATTTTTCATTTGCTATTCTTTATTCGTAAATAAAACCCTTATGTATCACTAACCTAACTCCAAACTCAGATTACGCAGAATGGCCTGTCTTTGGCTAGCTTCTGAACACAATCCATTAACAGGATATCCAGACGATCAAATCAGAAAGAACAGTGAATTGCGCCAAGAAAAAGATTTTTAAAAATAAATAAATAAAATAGGGAGGGATGTGAGGCTGTGCATGCCATTGACGAGCCAAAGACACTCCTGGCTTCTGTGCATAACATGAAAGATTCAGGAAGCAAACTCCAGGACACTGAAGCAGCATACCTTCTCCAATTTGGAATACAACTCTCCTGCTTCATTTTTTCCTTGATCTTTAACCTGTAACTTAAATATAAAATATATAAAAGTCTCAGGAAAAGTTGTAGTACACTGGTCTTCTATCCAGTCATCGCCACATGTAATTTAAACACAAGCAGTTACACAAGGTATAAATTACATTATTTCGAGTGCACAATTGAAAGACATTTTGTATTAGTTGTACAAACCACGCTAATCTCTAGAGGACACACACACACAACACAACTTGTGTGTGTGTATAAAACAGCACTAGAAATTCAAGCAAGCATCAGTCCCCTCTCCCGTGAAGCCTAAACTACCTTTTGCAATTTGTTGTGACATTCAGTAGCTTTACGTTTGAATTCTTCAGCTGCCAGTCGGGACTCTCTCAACTCCGATTCATAAAGATCACTACGCCTGCGAGCTGAAATAAGATCCTCTTCTAATTGATTCATCATCAACCTCATTTCTTCTACTTGAGCTTGATATTCCTGTAGTTGTGGTGGAAGGGAAGGAAAAGGTATTATATTTTAGAGGCAACAGGGGAATTACTTGGAGCAGCAGATCCCAGAATACTGATTGCAGGCAAGAGGCGCATTTAAGAATATGTGGAAGAAAAGGAAAAGTACAAAATAAAACATTAAGAGCTGAATAAAATAACATATCCATGGTGTTCTGGTTTGAGGCTTGCCATTTTCAAGTCGATACCTTATAAAAGACAAAACATTGACTTTTTGAGAGTGGCTTCACTGCAGAAACACATACATACATCTACATACAAATGATAAAAATTGCTTACGTTTCTAATTTCTGAAACAGAAATGTGTCTTTGAGTTGATGTCTCTAGCAAATGCCCAGATGCTCCCTCAAGATATATTTTCTCAGGCTGATAACATGACAACTACCACAGATCTGCACAGCTTGGGTAAAAGGAAAGGAGGAGAAGCAGAGGGGTAGCATACTGTGGCTTCTAGCCATCAGTTATTTTCTCCTGCCAGAGTTAAAAAGGATCATATTGCTCTGTATGGGAGACAACCTAAAATCAAATATTAACTTCGAAAAAACTGTCTAAAAATCACATTGCCCATAAAACATATTTGCCTATATCGGCAGAAATAATGATTCCCCATGCAGGACACTACAAGATAAGGCGTTTGGAGGGGGAAGGTGGGAGAAGAAAAGAACATTTGAAGTGACTGTCTCAATGTGACTGGGTGCTCAAACTGAGACTAGCTCGTGAGATTGCTTCCTGTATCTTTACTGGAAAAAAGAGAATTTGATTATGTTTATTTAGCATTCACTAAGTCCTGTAAGTATACATTTTATAAAATTACTCTAAACAAAACAAAAAAAAGAACAAAGTATTTTTTATGAAGCTGAGAAGAAGTAGAAAACATGCACATCAAGAGCTAGGAAAAAAGATTACGAAGGACTGACAGTGGGGGAGTCTATCTTTCTTTCCATTTTAATATCTTACAATACGCCTGACTACCCCCATATTCAAGAGAGTAACTGTCTCATGACAAAATCAGGTTTGTCATCACTCCTTCCAGACAGCCAGCTGTCTTTAGTTAGACAAGTGATTGCATGAACACTGACCCTCCTGCCAGCCTGCGATTCTCTAGCAACATGGAGAGCCCATGCAGATATCTAAAGAAGCTGGGCCTTTAACAGATGGCTTTACTCTCCGTTACGGGGAGCATGGCAGAATGGCCCTTTGGTTTGCAATCCCCAAATGGGTTCTCCAGTTTGTGAGGCAGACAGGGGACCTACTCCTTCCGGTTAGTCTCTCTATGGATGATCTTATTTTCTTGCTGGAAAGAATTAGAGCCTTTTTATAATAAGTGAGCATACATTAACTCAAATATTCATTTCAAACAAACGTATTTGTGAATAAGAAAAGGCAGAATGGCTTGAAGGAGTACATGTGCTGCTCAGAAACCGTATTTGTTAAGCCTTCCTAAAATACTCAGCTTTCATATCAGCAAACACTTGAACGAAGAATTACAAGTATGGCTACTGTTGCCACTGTGAAAATGAGTGTTTGGGAAGGGGGGAGAATGGGGAGGGAGAAAAGAAGGAAGAAGAGATAATTAGTAATATTTCAGTTTTTCTTGTTTCTGGATGTTTGCAAGGCTATCTTTGAATAAATCTGATGGTCAGGTCAGAGGAACAGGCCGCATCACTCAAGGCGACACAGAACGATGCCTCTTGCATATGCATTGGTCATAGTTTTAAAACTATCAAGATGTACTTAAGCGCTTATTAACGGGCATATACCATATGCTCCGGGCATATACCTGAAGCAAACCACATCAGGGTAGCTGCATACAAATGAGTGGGCGTTTCAAAAAAAATATAGATCCTGATTTGCTGCAAGTTCATCCATTCATGTGGGCCTTCATCAAGTAACGACCAGAACACAGGTTTAGTTAAAACAAAACAAAACAAAAAACCCCAAACAACAAAACAAAAAGCAAACACACAGCCCAAACAAAAAACCCAAACCAAACACAAACCCGCCATGTTCTTCTATTCAAGTACCTGGGGTTAAGTTGAACCTACATTCTTGCCCTGAAAACACCAAATACCTACTTATTGGGTTTTGAAGATTCTGATTTGCTGTTAATTTTACTTGTTCTCTCTCAAGCTTCAGGTTTTCAACAGCAAAACTCTAAGGGCCTCCTCCATCTCACCTCCCAGTTCCCTCTGACTTAAAAATAATGATCCAAGTCTTTAATGGCGAAGATCCACCTGCTGGCGTGAGTCAGCAAAAACATCTCTGCATATTCTGTTGCGGTGCTCTTGCACATGAGTTTCAGACAGCTCAGAAGACCACTCCAGACATGAAAGTCTGCAGGATATTACAAATTCATTTGTTGACCTAAGCAGCCTTTTTATGTCATTGCGAATCTTCACAAGCCAGATTAAAATATTCTGGGACAAAATATTTGATTAAAAACTATCTGCATTATTTCTCCTCTGTTACATGCGTCTGTACTGCCTAAGAATCTATTGATATTTATCATCACCAAAAATGTTCCACATTTCAATATCTAAAAGCAACTTTGCTAACAAAGCACCAGAACACAGAGCAATGAGCTTTAGATCCCTTCTATTACATAAAACCACCACCCAGAAGAATGCTGTAGAAGCCTATGGAGGCCTGCTACCTCCACAGGGCTGGTTTTGCATTTCATTACTTTTTACATAAGAGCTGCTCATGTCTGGAGAATTATTACCAAGGTTTCTGGGCTTTCTTGTCTCAAACACTATGAAATTAGTCAGTTAATGTTTGTAAAGTGCTTTGAAGATGAAAAACAACAGATAATTGCAAAGAATTGTTTGAACGCCACAGCAAATTTCAATTTCTTTTTCTCAATACAATATGTTGCTATTGATTCATAAAACTGAATGGGTTCTATCTTGTAGACCATTTTAAATCCTAAAAATGCCCACATTCGTCACCATATTTTCATTTAATTTTGACCTTCTTTTTCCTTATGAACAACCATATAGATTAAGGAATTTTCAACATTCTTCTGGTGGAAAAAAATTATGAAGATCTACTTTGCAAATAGATTAAATTAGGAAAAGAACAGTTAGGGAACACAGATTCTGTTTTGAAAGACTATTAAGCATTTTAAATGGCCAGATAAGAAAGAAAAAAAAAGAAAAAAAAGAAAAAACCAACGCAAAACTAAGGCTAGCTCAGTTCTCTCCCAGGTGAAGATTCATGAACTTGTGAAATTTGTATAGCTTGGCCATTTAAAATGGACAGTTCATTTCTAATGCAGCATATTACTAAAGCATTGCAACCTTCTCCTAAGCTGGTTTTATAGACAAAGTACTTTCAGGACTAGGAAAAGAAAAACTTGAACTTTGGAGTTTGTGCTTACTTGCAATATAGACAAAAGTGTGATTTTGTTGCTTCCCATTTTGTTTAAGAAACCATGTGAAAACACACAGATTGGGAGTCATCACAGCCTACCAACATAAAACGTAATCCTGGCAACAGAGCTAGAATATGCCAAGAACGCCTATTTGTGGATAGCCACTCTGCTCCCCGAAGAAGCAGGTATACCTGTTCTTTGATCTCTTGCAGTTTTCGGCTTTGCTCTCTGATATCATGAAGTAGCTGTAGTGCCTTATCATCTTCCTGAGACACCTCCATCCGTGCCTGCTCCAGGCTTCGCTTTAAGCTCTGCAGAAAGCAAAGTGTTCAATACATAGTCTTTGGGTTTTCAGATGGCTGTATAATAAAGATCTTTAGCTACACAAATGCCTCCTTGACTGCAGCGAGGCATCAAAAAGAATCGAGGCACCCATGATGGAACCCTAAAGAAATTCATGGCCAGCGCTGCTTCTATCTGGATAGAAGCAGCCCATTTTACAAATACCATTTACTACACTGAAATCTTAGTTCAAATCTCTACTTCCTCACATCAGGTTTCGGACAAAAACCAAACAGAGATCACAAAAGGCATCCATTATTGACAGCATTTATCTATATTTCACTAGCACTATTAATTCACAACCTAGATACAATCCTTCAACTTCACATTACTAACAAGCCTATTCATTTTTCTTGTTGCTGTTAAGGAAGTTAAATCCTTTAATCATCGTTAAACTTCTACAAAGACCAGAAGAGCTGCTTCTGTATCTCACCACATACCTTACCTGCACATCTGGACAGACCAGTGGTCCTCCTATCAACTATATACTATTCTTCAACAGAAAGGTACAAACTTCATTTTATTTATTTACCTAGTAGCATCTGGTATAGGAAAATCACTCAGCCCCGTTTTAAGATATGCTTCCCAACAAACAAACCCATCAGAAATGCTTTTCAATTCTCTGAAACAGAGTATTATCTGGATTTTTGTTGGTACAAGAGAGGAAATAGAATATGATATCCAACTGAAAATACAGAGACTATTAACTAGAATGAAAATATCCTCACTGGAATCCTGCCAGGACAACTGGGAAGACATTCCAGCTCCCATGAAAAATGCCAAATGATCTTTGAAGACACAGTTTTAAGGCCTCATTTTTATATTCTGTCTGAAAAGTAGCACCTGTCCTAGCATCATCCCTGACATTACAGTGGGGAACTGGATCAGTCTGAACTCGGACTACCACAGATGGAGGCAACACCATTGTTTCCTACTCCTCGTATTTGTCCTTGAAGATTTGTGTCTAGGTACTGATTAGGCCCCATCCTCTTCTGGCTAAGAAACCTGCAAGAAGTCAAAACCCAAGCATGTTCTAGCACAGCCAGTAAGACAAACATCACAAATAGTTTCAGCAAGACCAGGACAGTAGTTATTCCTGTATGTTGTAAGCACATGACCATGAAACAAAGTTTGAATAAAACTACCAAGCAAGCCTCTGCACACAATTCAGGGCTCCGTATTGAACAGATATCCTCTCACATATTATTTTCTCTCCATCAACTACCCCGCTGAAACCATGATGGAAGAGAAAGGCAAAGACCACCAGATTTCAGGCCTTCAGAGCTGAAAGGACTGGTGTAAGGGCTCACACTGCATTCTGTGATATAGGTGGCCAGGTCCTGCTCCAGGAGGGATCGCTGGGTCTCAGAGGCTTTCAGTTCCACCTCCTTTTGGCTAAGTACAGCCTCCACCTCTGACACTCTCCGGTGCAACCGCGTCATTTCCTGCTCCATCTGCAATAAATATCAAGAGGTTATAAAGGGGGCTTCAGAAGCTTTGTTAACTGCTACTTTCAGAGCTCTGTTTGTAAGGAATTTGTCTCCAAGAGACTTCTAGCTATGTTTCTCCAAAGGGTGTTTAAATTCCGATACCATTGTCTCTGCTCCAGGAATGCACAGTTCTTCTTAAGGACAAGTAGTAAGTCTAAGTCACCCCATTCATTCAAGCTGCTTGTTCATATTCAGTCATTCTTCGAACCCCAGTCAGCAAAGAAGACACAATCATTTTTCACCTGACTCGCAGAGATGGGTCACTTTAACCTTATCCCAAATCCATGCTGGACCAGAAGATGGTTTCCCCCCATCTCCTTGTCAGGAGCAAATGGTCAAATCCAGAACAGAGAAGGGAGAAAAGTAATCGAACTCTCATAAAAGTCTCAAACAAGCAGTAAGTTTGAAAAGACTCCACTGGGTTCCCTTTATTGGAGCACAGCAACTGTTATAAGATGTTCACCATAACCAGTGACGTGACAACAGTTATGTAAGTAGAAGCTGATGAGTTAGGAAGAGAACCTCAGAACAGTACTGCTGTAATTGTGCGTACGATGAAGAGGCACGGCCTGCAGGAAGAAGGAGTCGTCTGTGTCACGCTGAGAAAAGGACTGTTTAAAATCCAGAGCTGCTTCTTGTTAAGATAAAAGTATCTAGAGCAAAAGCATGGCCTAAATTCATCTCCCTTCGCACTGGACAGGAAGCCACCTCACTGAAGGAAAAGCACTTTGCCCACCACGAGTCTGGATGATCAGCAGCATCTGACAGATCCCCGGACATACAGTGGTTGCAGATTCCTGGAGCAATGGAGATGGCCAACCGCATAAATAAATACCTTGTGACACTTGTCCTGGGCGTCCTGGAGTTCTTTGCTCTTGAGAAGAAGTTTCTTTTCCATGGAGCTGACTTTGGCTGGAGAATCCACACTTGAAAAAACAGATCTAAAAGAGCAAAGCCAAACAGCACATGAATATAGGCAAAAGGTACAGAAATCTGCATTTATGCAGCCTTGGTAAAGTCATTGGGTACTTACTTATACCAGGATAAAAGAAAGGAGCAGCAATTGCAGTCTAACAGCCATCCTTTCAGACCAAACATACCATAAAACCTGATGACAGTATATCATTATTAAATAATCCATGTGTACTTCTAGTTAGAATATTAAGATTTTCCATGAGTGCCTTTTATGTCAGAGTGCAAAACAGTGAATCACAGCAACATTTTTGCATAACTTGTACGGATTTATAAGTGTAACAAAAACAAAGCATAAAGTCAATGTAACCACTTGGAAAGATAACAAATTTTCAGAGAATGGCTTTTTATTTTGTACTTTATTTTTAAACAGGTTTTAAAATTACCATCAAAGTACAAAAGCCCTAAAAACTTTAACATGTCATAATCTGCACCACAGGAGGAAGAATTTAATATCCTTAGTTACCTTCTGTGCATCAAAATTGAAGTGAAAAACTTTCCTAACCCAATTCATATGATCCCTACGAACTCAATCAATACCAATATGATTAGTCACACTGCAGAACTTCAGAGTTCCACTTGTAAGTAATTTTTTTCATGAGACACAACTTAACTGTACTATTCAAAACAATCTGACTCCAGAAACTTGGGGAAAATATTTACATGTTCTTCTTCATGTTTTCTGTCTAATTGGGACTCAACATTTAAGAAGTTTACCATTTCTATTAGCCTAAATTCTTTCTAGAAAAGGATAGGAAGCCACTCAATGTTTTGGAGCATATTTTTAGTGCTTTGCAGTCTTAAATATGTAATTTGCAACCAAAAAATTAACTACACACATCAAAACATAATTTTAAAAATCACATTCTCCCTCGCATAAAATGATTCAAACTAGATATTTAAGCAGATAATGATGGAACCAGTGTTAACTGATAGATGGAAACGCAGAAGTACAATGAAGGTGCTAATAAAAGATCATACAGTCTGCCCACACATTGCTTTCTGCTTCTCCTGGCCACAGTTTGGTATGCAGCCAGTTATCCCCATGGAGAGAAATGAGCTTTGAGCAGCTCTCTGCATATAGCCATACACCCACACACAGCAGCGCAGTCTCTTCTTAACACCAGGGAAAGTTTGATTCCATCACCACCATTTTCTGAGAAAAATCTACTCCTTAATCCAAAGAGATATGCAGGATAGTCACAGAAAGAGACACATGGATTTTCACGAAAATGCTGCAGCAACATGTCCGTATCAAAATAGATCTTCAGTACCACCACCTTAAGCAGTCATTAGGAAATGCTGTTTTGATATTAGCAAACATACATAGCAAAATCCACCAATTCTGCCTTGAAAGGTCAAATATTACTGTGTCTTCAGAAACCTGATGTGGAAAAACTGAGAATGAATGCTTTTGTAAAGCATTCCTTTAGTCTTGGTCCAATCAATCCAATCCATCAGATTATCATATTTAAAAATCAATTTATAAAGCATGTCTATACTCCTACAGAGAAAAGGCAGCCATCTGAGAAAGATGCATATTAAATCCCATAACAGCTGGGTGTACAAACAAGGCTAAAAATGAATAGTTGAGAAAGGCGGTCTAAAAATACAAATTAAAGCTCACATTAACTAAAAAAGACACTAAGGAATCTGCTTTAAAATGTTAATCGAATATATGTAAATAACTGCAAATGCGTACTGAGACAAGTCTGAAAATCTTTTTATTATAAAAAATTTAGCTTTACAGGTCTGAACTGTACTGGCTAAAGCTTTTTTTTTTTTAAAGTTCTAGTTTCAACATTAACCATCACCTTTTTACTTTTATTCTTTCCAAATCTGAGACATTACCTAAGAAAACTCTAGCCAGTTCTCACAGACCTGGTTTTATTTGCTGCTTCTATTTCACCTCCCTAAAGGGACTAGTTTTATTTGTTATTTTTACTCATTTATTTTATTTGCTATTAAAAGAATCAGAGCCTAATATCACAGGCACCATTTTGCATTTCAGAAATTTCTCCTAGCAAGCCAGCTTAAAGCATCCATGTGCACTGCAACAGAGGAATTAACAGGACAGATTCAGGCAAGATGATGCCGCGCTCTGCAAAGCCACGCTCCTCAGCCAGGAGGGACGGGATGGGACGGGGCACGGGAGACTGGCACTGACCAAAGTTTGAATTTCCTTACGTGACTGTAGAGGGAGCTGCTCCTCAGGGTTGGTGTCAGTTTTGTAAGGGAAGAGAAGGCTACAAACTATAGAACTACAATCTTTCTTCCTCATCCCTGTCCAACGGGAGGAAGAAATTCCTTAAAAATATATGTCCTGATGATACAATGATTCTCCTGCCATGGAAACAGCACATCATCTCCCCAAGCGAAGCCGCTTTCAGTTAGCACTGGACACAGAGTTTTTAAGAGACAGCCTTTCCCAGTAATTCTTTCCTGTGTACAAATTGTATTAGAACAACTTCATGAACATCCATACAACCTTCAAAGTATCAGAAAGGGGGCAGACAGAGGAAATCAAGAGAAATGGAATACTGACTAATCTAATAAGCCTTGTCATGGTGATATAAGCTCTCAGCGCGGCATGACAAGGTGGAAAATACCCACATTGCTGGGGCACTTACATTCTTCCTCAGTCAGCATCATCTCAGAAATTAAACACATACAATCCAACATCAAAAACCATGATGCAAAGCTGTCATTCGGGTTGGTACCATCTCAGATTATTTCATGTAATTAACTGCTAAATCTGGATCAATTCTCTTAGCACAACAGAGCAGTTTCTCCTGTTTCCTCTGAAGCGTGAAAAAAAGATTAACAAAAGGTAACCAGCATACATCAACAAGAAAATTGCAATAAAAGATTTACAAAAAACCCCAAAGCCAAGTCTGTAGCACCAAGCGCTGATAGCACTAGCTGTGCCAATTTACTTTCAAAAGAAGCACTGCCTGCATGACTAAAAAACAAGTTAACTTAGAGCTGACTATCTAGTGATTTCACAGCTAGATCAGCAACAGCCTCAACCCGCAGAACTATCAGAAATGGTGCTAGTTGTGTAAAAGCTCCTCCGGTCTTAACGTGGCTGAGATGAAGGAGGAAAAAAGTGTTAATATAGGAAAAGCCATAGGATGATTCGGAGGTATCGAACTCGTATCCGAACGTCTCTTGCGCATCATACCTCGTACCTTCCTTTGGCCTTTTATGCCACTCTCAAACCCCCAACTCACCTGTGCTGCTTTCTTCTCACGATTGACACCATCTGTCCTAATCCTGGCCCCCACACAACATGCCTATAATCTCATCCCCCGTCCCTCATGCTCTATTCTTTTTAGCATTATACTCATCTGTACCTTCCGCCCCCTCGTAAATGCTTGCTCAGGCCTAAAAAAAACCAACCAAAAACAAACAGTGATACCATCAATCTGTGAATAGAGCTAGCTGAAGCAAAGCATATTTTTGGTATGCTCATCCTCTGCTTCCTCTTTAATCTATCTTTGGTGAAAGAGTTTACCAGAACCTGACAAACTGTTGGAAGAAATCAGTAGCCCTTCCTTTTGGAAGAATGACCCATTTTAACTCTCAGCATTTTATAATGACAATCGCTAATCTAAAATACATTTTAGAATTTAAAAAAAAAAAAAAAAAAAATCTTGAGAAATATCACTTCTTAGGAACCTACAGAAAAGATTTGGACCATCTACCAAAGCCTCACAGACCACAGTTCAAGAATTACTAGGATTACACTTATTATATTCTGTAAGACAATTAAAAAAAAAAAAAAAAAAAAAAGGTGGAAAAGCCAGGTGGTGGAACTACCTAGCTACTCAAGCGGGTTACAAACATCACTCGGTCTTATGCACATCTAGGGGAGGAAAACCTTCACTTTCATTTTGGCCACAGAAGTGTAAGTCCCTGATTTCGCAGGCTTCTCCCTGTCCTCGCACACTTTAAAGTAAGTATTAAACATTTTACGTTTAAATTTTAAAAATTTACAGCTCCTGACAGATGCCCCGCTGGGCAGAGTCTCCGTGGGCAGGCATCGGTTACCATGACAGCACACCACCTAGAGAAAGAACATGGCTCCCGCCGCAGGGAGCACAACGTCGCCTTCCCACTCGGCAGCAGGTGGAGCCATCAGTCAAGTACTCGCACGCTAACGGCTGGGGCTTTTTAAGGAAATTTTTTAAAAAAAATAAAAAAAAAAAAAAAAAAAAAAAAAAAACCAAAACCAACATATATCAGCAACGGAATTACGTATAGTCCCACTGTCAGCCTTGCCTGTGAATATCTCTAGGTTCTGGTTTAGCAAGTATTTTGTGCTAACCTAAGTTTTGTATCGTAAGTAGTCAGGCCCCTTTAGCTCCTTACTCCAGTCTAGAAAAGGACAGAGGCAGGCAAAAATGTATATCATAAGCTATTTTTTAATTAGGTATCTATTTTTTTAATTAGGTATTTTGGTATATTTCATTAGGTACTTATTTTTATTAGGTACTTTGGTATATTTGGTTAGCCCTGGATTTATACTGTATTTATCTTATGCCTTAGGGCTTCTGGTAGTCACCTGCAAAGGCCAAGAACAATTTTCTTTCACCACTTGATGCATATTTCTGGCATCTGAGGGCTTTTCTCCCTTGTGCTAAGCACTGGAGATCAGCCACAGTTAGGGACAGGGAGTAAGGTGGGGCTGGCTTTTAATGGAATTAAACTCTCAGTTGCCTGTTATCTTGTCACAGTCACACACTCGCAGCCAAACCAGCAGCCAAATTTGCAGTCAGACAGGCATTTCTCCCCTAAATCAAGAATTCAGAGGCCATGATGGGAGAAGGACTTAGCTGGTCCTTCTCTGCAGCCTGATCCCAGTTCTTAGAATCCTATAGGAGATTTATTTAACAAACACTTTGCTAACACAGGAACCTATGACATAAGCAATGCCCTTGATTTCTCCTGATGGCTTCCTATGACACATTATTGCCATAGCTTTTGCTCTTTTGTTAGATCTTACATTCGTTATAGGGTCACAAATTCTTCCCGAAACTCGTGGTATGGGACAACATACAGAACATTTTCATTCAGTGGACCCTTCTAAACTACACACCGACTATGTAAGTTCTGTAACAGGTCTAAGTGACTTAGGTGAACCCTTCTTACCCTAAGTGGTTGGGAGAAAGAGGAGAATGGAAGAGAGCTCCTTTCATCCTTCTTCTGTCCAGTTTTTTTGAACCATCCTTTCTCTGAAGTATTCCAAATTCCTAGCTCAGCTATGGCTTCTTACTGTCCAGTGAAGAAGGGCAAGAGTATAACCCTAAACTTCATAGCTTAACAGCCCTCAAATTAAAAGCGATGAAAGTTCCAAGGACCTTGGTAATGGCACTCTGCAGCTGCCTGGCCTGACTGTGAGCAGCACTAGAGGCATTAGAGCTATCATGCTGCAGACACAGGAAAACAGGTCTGCATCACTTAGCAACCATAAGGGTGAGACTTTCGGAGGAAAGATTTTCAGAAGAAAAATTCTGGACTGATAAACTTGATGACTTAGGACCTTCCAGAGAAGACAGCCCGAGGTTCACAACAGATAAGCCTACCCCCGTTTACTGTTCTCTTCCCCATCTAGAAATTGATATTCAAAGCTAGTGTGGACAGAAACAGTACTTTATTTCCTCAAGTAAAACATACACGACACAATATTTTGTAAGTAAGAAGTTATCTTTATGACACAGTGTTGCAGTGATATTGACAATAAACTAGTCACTGCATTATTTAAATACAGATATTTTCAAGTCTCCGTACACTCTGTGCCATATTTAAATCACCTTCTTAGAACAAAATGCACATATTTACCACTAAAAATATCAAAGTGCCTTTATCGAGATCTCATTCAAAAAAAAGAAACCAGTAAGATCTACTTATCTTAAAATTATTTGGGGGAAAATTAAGCACCTGATGTCTTTCTGTTCCAGCTCAGGAAAAAAAACAGGCCACATGAAGCAGAAATTTTACTTCAGTCAAAATTTCTCCAGAGCACATTAATCTCTATATTCTTTTGCTGTATCCCTTCTCATCTATTACCAAAATTGAAATATAACTTCAATACGCATCTTCGGTACTAGCTCCACAAAGAAAGCATATCAATCAATCGGCTATATCTATATTACTTTTCAACCTTCAACCTCCAGCACAGTTACACCACTGTTCCTGAGACTTTACCTCATGCTCCTCCTCAGTTCTAGTCCTGAGCCCCGATTACATATGTATTTTTACCATACATCTACGGTCACTGTTGAGCCTCTTCTGGCTGTCATGAATGGTCATGTAGCCTTGATAGATGGATTGCAGTTCCCCAGGCAGAAAAGATAACACTGTAAGTTATGTCACTCCTAAATCAAGATAGATTTTAACCCCAGGTATCTACAGACATAACATTCCGTTTATTCTAATTCTGCTGACTATTAGGTCATTTCACCAAAAGAATACTTTTTGGGTTGTTATGTCCTCTCCCGTCCTTCCTCTTTTGTCATAAAAGCAACTCTGCTAAGGAGGCACAATCAAAGATTCCCTTTTTATTACCGGCATAACCATCATATAACCTTGATTCACAATGTGGGCAAGATCAAAGATGTCAACAGTATCACCAGATTTGGTTACACACTTACCGCAGAGCAACTATCATAACCAGTATGACAAAAAAATGAAAACTTAATTAAGACAGATTGACAACGAAGTCCCTTAAGGGAACTAACTAGCAGCAATGAACGATGGTTGACACAAAAACACAGCGCCTTAGTGCATTGAGTCACTAACCCAGCTAAAGCCATTGCATTCCTGAGAGGCCTCATGACACTGAGGTAAGGACTTCGCAACTTAACGTACTTTTTCAATAGCTCTGTCATCAGGAACTAACCACCCACCACACCAAATGGTTTATACCATACTATTTATATTCTTCTTTTTCTCTGACTCCGTTCTCCCGGCAAGCATGTTTTCTTTCAGTTGAAACCCATTTTTTCTAGACCTTTACCTCACAAACACATACCCTGCATACTTCATCTGAATCTCCAGTCTCTTAACACACAATACAGCAGTCTTCATATTTAACTTGATCCCACAGCGCAGTCAGCTGCTGTGAAGCTCCTGCTCTTGTACACTGACCCATCACTGCACATTCCCAGATTTGTGGAGCTCCATTTCTGTGGATCACTGATTCAGCCTTACACATCCCCACCACTTGGTGCCCACTCTCTGACCCAATAAAACAACAACCCCCCTTTTCCATCTCTGAACTCCTCAGTATTCTCCTTCTTTCAGGGATCTGCAACACCAGAAATGCAATCGCCTACTGCTCCCTGGTTAACAGCAACAACTAATTCAAAGTATTTGAACAACAATTTTAACAATAACTGTTTTAGAATCAATCTTTCCATTCCCTTCCCTCCCCCTCATCCCAGAAATAACCACAGAACAGTAGGACATGCACAAGCCACAGCAGCAACAGATAAAGCCAGAATCTGGCAGCTTCCCTAAAGCAGAGTACAGGCCAGTTAAAACAGCTTTTCCCCACACTCACACCATCCTCACTGTAACAAACCTTTGCCTTTTTCCAATAGCCCTATCCACCTAAGCAATAATTCCTACTTACTCTGATCTGAGGGTCGCTAACGTCTTGATGAATGAAAACCCCACAAACGGCAAATCTTCACCCGAGAAGCCTGCTGGGTTCAACTGGCGCGTAGAGGATAAAACCCGCGAATTCTTCTCTGGTTCATCAAAATTTGAGGTGTCATCATCAGACTTGAGAGTAGGAACGAAGGGGGGAGGAGCTGGTGAAAAAAGCAAGAAGAAAAGACAAAATTCAGCTACAGTTCACTCTGCAACAGCCCCACTCATTCAGTGCTTGCAATGGCACTGCAGCTCCTGCTTTTAATCTTGCTAACACAAGCAGACTGAGCTGCTGCTCTCAAATCGTATTACAGCAACAAGAGATTAACCCTTAAGCTACCAACATGGCTACCACTCTGCAGGCAGAACATCTCCCACACTGATTAAACTGAGTTTTAGGTTGGGGATTTAGGATTGTTGGGTTTGGGGCTTTTTTTTTTTTTTTTTTCAGGTTGGGGGTATTTTAAACACATACATTGAATCAAATCAAAGCACCAGGCTAAGAAAATCATTACTGTAATATAGCTAAAAGTAATTCAATTCTGATTCATCTAGAAAAAGAAAATGTCTCCAACCTATCCGGTTAGTGACACTACATGAGAATGTAGCCTGATCCTTCGCTAGTCAGCGAAGGGGTGTATCTACCCTTTAATACTACCAGGAATCTTCCCAGCATGGGCTTCTAATCAACAGCAAACCGGTTTCTTTCTCCCGGAAGATTCTATACTTTATTAAGTATAGCTACTAGAAGCTCATTGGTCTTTAAAAAGAGAAGAAATATCAGTAAGATTTTATTTCTCTAAAAGAGCTTGCTAAAGATCTGGAACTCTTGGTGGGACACCACTGCAGTCTGGCTCCGATACAATCAGCTCTGAAGAGAGGTATAAATAGCAGGAATTACAATGTATTTCTTACTATAATTTCTAAATTGGTACCGCTTAACTTGTCAAGCAGTTGTTTAATTTCAGCTGATTTTCTCGTGTTTGCTTCAGTTTAATTAACCAACAGAACAAAAGAACAAGTTCTTCTCAGTGATGTGCAGCACCCAAGCTACCTGCTGGCTTGGCTGCATGTGCGGAAGGAATGAATGCAAAAGCCTGCTGTGCAATTTCTACCTCATTAAATCACGTTTTCTAAGATTTTTTTTATTTATTTATTTATTTCATCGCTCAGGTGCAAGTCTACTGATCTCTTTTTTGCTCTGTAAAGGAGACAGCTCTTCAGTCAGCAACGAGAACACAGCCCATTGTCACAAGCTGATGGAAGCGTAGTGTGCTAAAACCGTTACCATGGATCCAGTATAGATCTCCTGTAGCTGGAGGGCTGATGAGAATTGAAGAACCGGGAACAAACATTACAACCCCTGCAGTGCAGGCTCCCTGCTCCTCACTCCTGCATGCTCGGCGGTTAACCCTACCTGCCTGCAGTCGTGGCAGATGCTGATGCTTATCTGACTGACACGGGCGGAGTGAGTCAGGGCTGGAGCCTGCTAGCTCCCTCTAGGTTGCCAAAGCCTTTCACAGCCCGCTTTTTAACTCTTAATTCTCTAGACAAACGTACGCTTAAACTACCCACCAGACCAGTATTAACAGCCAAAAAACCCCCAATCTGTCTGTATAAACTGCCAAATCACAACCACACGCGCAGGCTTTGTTAGCAGCTCCCCCAGGAGCCATTCTGACGCCGCTCCCAAGCCGGGAAGCGAGAAGAAATTCCATGAAGCAGATAGGATGCTGCTCACGTACAGCAGTTCCAAGTACATTAGAATGAGATAAATGGGGAAAATATACAAATTAAATCGGTTCTGTAGTAAGCAATTTTACTTACTGGCTCCAGAACATTTAAGTTTTCTGTCAATATCATGACTTTATTAATTTCTGCTATTTTATTGGTTATAATATAAATTTAGATCCAGTATAATGCTGACATTTATGTACTGTAAACATAATTTTGGAATACAGATTGTTGATTAGGATCTGTATTTTTTTTTTTTAAATTCACTTAATGTCAGGATAATGTCCAGCTACTCTTTCACATGCTTTTAATGATTAAAACCAGAGAAGCAACAGAAAACAGTTTGTAAGTGTATCATCTTTTATGCAAACATAAGTCCAAAGTTGCAGTTAATTCATAGCAGAGGAGGATGAGTTCAGGAATTAGTATTTTTTAGTTTAGGACCTCTGCACGTCTCGTACAGGAAGGGGTTGCTGTGGGGTTTTGAACGTCGGCTCTGAAGACAGGTACTGTCTGTGAGGTAAAGTGACAGAGAAAACAGCAGACTGGCCACCTCGCCTGGGGAAGTCTAGAATCTTTCTTAAAGAGGCAGCAAACCCCAATACAGCTGCCTTTTTATAAGGGTATAACAACCTGTCGGGAACTCCTCAGAGTTTAACAGATAACTTCATCTTTGAAAGAGAGATCTAGTGCCTCACTGCTCACCAGAAACTAGCTAAGAAGGTCTTAAGAATCATCTTCAAGCCTTTGCAATTAAAAAGCAAGTCTTTCCTCCTACCCACAATAAGAATTCCTAGTCAAACCACATGCATAAAGGAAAATATAATTTAAACGTGCCTAAGATCAGTATGCACGTGATGATGAAAAGCACTCAACAGGGGAACAATGGATGCAAAAAGATAAAACTGAATGCGAGACAGAGCAAACCTTTGGGGCTGGTGGGAAACTAGCTTAAAGAGCACAATGTTTTACACTACAGTTTCCTATAATGTTTAATAAAAGATGTGAACGAAGAAGAGAAATTGTGAACACTACATTAAAAAATAATGAGAAAGTCATTTGCCCTCTGTTTTGCATTCCCTGAAAATCCATGACTACCAGCCCAAAAACCCTGCGACGCTGCAGTACAACCTTGTTACAATATTTGTATCAAGAAATAGTAGCAACTGAAAAAAAAACTTAGAAAGAACAGCCATTCAATAAAAACACCTCTAGAGGTTAAGCCGTTCTGAACTGCCAACGGTGACTGAAGATGAGAAGCAGAACTTCTTCAGAAGTTTCAGGACACTGGAGGAAAACTCGCTTAGGAGTAAGAGGGAATAGCTCTAAGAAAAAAAAAAGCTAGACACACTCTGTTTGATTTTGTTAATTAATCGGTAGCTTCTTCGTAGGCTTTTTATTCCTAAGACTAAGGAATCCTCTGTCTAATGTCCAAAATATCTACAGAATGAACGGAGCAGTCTTGTAAAAACAAGCTAAAACAGACGAGCCATTTTGTTCTCGAGCGTGGGTCACATGATGACATAATCTCTAGTTAAATTATTATTTCTGGCTTAAAACCAGAGGACTGTCACACAACTATAGTATTTTCAGAAGAAGATGAAGATTGGTGAATGCAAATACATTGATATGCTTATCAGTTGCTTCTTTAAAGGGAAGAATCCTTTAGTAGAGGTGAAGATAAGCCTCCGAGAACTAAATGTTAAAACCATGCCATTGCATCTGACAAGGTGAAAAATCTGCACTTTTTTCAGGCTCACCTAAACGGGAGGCAAAACTATTACTCAAAAAGACAGTAAACCCGATGCTTCTACTTGTACAAACTGCTATAAAGACCTCTTTTTGTCTCCGATATGTTACACACGAACGTACATGTTCTGTTTACCATTTAAAGTATCTGGTAGAGAACTGCATGTTTTAAAAAAGCGAATTGCTTGCCTAGATACCTCCCCACTTGTGGAAGGATGTAGCCCTCTTCCATCTGTTCCAAAGAATGACTTTCAGAGGAAAAGGGGGTGTTGTAGGTTGCTAAGTTTAAAAAAAAAAAAAAAAAAAAAGAAAAAAAAGAAAAAAAAAAAACACCACACATACACTGCAGTCCTTTAACCAGTTTATCATTAAGATTAGAGAAAATGTCTCTTATGGAAAGGAGCTTTTTTTTTTTTTAAACTCTGCACTAGTGTGTGTCTTTCTGACTAGTTGAAGGAACGTTGCCTTAATCGGGTCTTTCCATCCTTTCAAAATATTTTCAGGCAAATTCAGAAAAGAGATACTGCATTTCCCCTGGGACAGTGAAAGACTTAACTGAAATAGGAAATTTAAAGGAAATACAGAACATTTCTTAAGAATAAAAACGTGTCTTCTCTTGATCTACAAGGTGATCTATACATGCGTTCTGAGGAAGAGCATCCACACGGCCTTTTTAAGTAGGTTAGGCATTACTCTTCCTCAGGCTTTAAGAGGCCCATTTGAGTAAAGTGGTATGGAAGAAAAATAGAAAATAGAAAGTCCGAGTGATGTAATTTAAGGATGTTTTCTCTAAGACCACTTAAAAAAATAGGCATTATACTAGTTCTAACCAATCTATACAACATTACCTTAACATCACCTCTGTTCTGTCAAGATGATGATCCAACACATACGTTTCTGTCAATAAAAGTGATCTTCAAGCTGACATGAAAGTGGTCCCCACTTAGAGAAACAAGTCAACACATTTTTCTGAAGGCAAGCGTTTAAATGAAACAACACAACCGTTACCTGTTAACAGACTGAACGACAAACTTTGGGTTCCTAAGAAAGAGTCTTGGACTTATGAACAACGAGATTTGGGTTCCTGCCTGTTTAATAGCAGAAGACAGCCTAAAAAATCAGTCTTCAACACTTTCTCAAGTCCTTCTGTTTGCACAAGACATTAAGTCTTTTCTTCTCACATATATCATTTCCTCATGCAAGTCCAAACATGCCATTCCATTTTCAAGACTTCTTGGATTGCAGTTACAAAACAATTCTTAAAATGAAAGGTACTGCATGCTATACATGTATATCGCTTAGATGACAATAAAAGTCTTCTGACCATCTCTCAGCTAGCCTTCAGCAGGCAGATTTTTGGTTCCAAATTAAACAACTGATGTAATTTACGGATTTCAAATAACAAAAGGTGATTAACAAAATTCCCAAATTATACAGAATGCAGCCTTGTTGCCAATAATTCAAGTATGTCATCCCCCATTCTCTACCCCTGATTTTAGGTACTTATCAAGTACTCAAATTGTTCTGTTATCAACTTTCTAGTTAAAATCCTGATTGTTTGGCTGAAACACAGATAGAAATATGTTTATTCTAGGTAAATAAATTCCAAAATATTTGCAGAAAATTCTGTCAAGTAAATCAACACAATCTTTCAAAAGTTTTGTTTTCTTTTGTTTGGCGGGGGGGGGGGGGGGGGGGGGGCACGGTCGGGGCGGGGGGGGGGGGAGATGTGATGGTATCTGGTTCTGAGGGTTTGGTGTTTTTTTAGAAGCTTTAGAAGTCATTAAATAGCAGAAATCAACAAATACAGAGAGCAAAATCTATACGTATGTTTCAGTACAATACTCCAAGGAAGGGGAAAATTACCTGCTGAGAGAGATTCAGTTAAACCCGACCTTAGGTTTAGTGGTTGGATTCTGTTTCTGTAACTGAAGAGCTGCTTCTACAGACACACGCCACTTGAACCGAAGGAAGTTGGGAGCTTTTTTAGAGGCGACTACCTTTTGGGAAGGGGTTTCATAGGTTGAAAAGTGAAGTGGTTCATACGTTACCATAACAACAAAATGTAACACTGCAAAACCCCATAATGACACATTCTTAACCAAAATCGGTGCATGAAGAATGATTATTCTGGAGCTCCCAGCATGATAATTTTAATACCTGCAAGGCAATGGTGCCAATTTTTTCCCTACCTTTCTCAGTCTGAAATAGAAATAACATCATTGCTTTGATAGACTAGAAGAAAGTCTGACTGCGCTGACACAGAATTTATTTAACAATCATAGAATCATTTAGGTTGGAAAAGACCTTTCAGATCATCGAGTCCAACATTCCACACCCCCAAAATCTTTGACCAGATTAACTTGAGGGAGTGAGATTCTTTAATCTAAATCTAAATCCTGTGACCTCTTCCAGCACTCTCTAGTTTCCTAATTTTCTCAGGCTGCCATTGCTCCAGTTAAACACCACTGTCAGCAGAGGCCAAGATAAGAAAGAAACTTTTAGCTTTTAGATAGCCCAGGTCAAACCCGACAAGGGTTTTGAACAGAATGACAGCAACACTGCCCTGAATAAACCAGCAAATGGAGAACCACTGCCGAGAGCAAAGCAATAGGTGATACGTTGAACCTGCTACTAAAAGCAAAGACGACCGCTGTGTTTTGTGCTAGTTACAAGGGGGGGTTTAGGAAGCATGAGACATAACAACGAAGTCAGGGGTCAAAACTGCATGAATCTCCACAGTAGGTAGGTCCGGATATTACAGGGAATGATGCAATCCACTGGCCAGCTGCAGACAGAAATGGGATTTTTAAAATCCCGAATGATTACTTCAATGTTATAATGACGCTGCCTACCAGCTTCTCCATCAGCATCGCCGTTGTCACACGAAGTGGCAAAACACTCAATTAACTTGTGCGGTTGTGTGAATACTGGACAGACAATTGCCAAAGAAACACCAGAACTTACGCTCACGTGCCATTTTTTTCCAGATCTGAGGTAACAGGATACAAATGCAATACAAAAATTTCAGAAACAGAAACTGGTGGCTTAGGCAGGGTTCTGGGGAAAGAAGGCAGAGTGAGCTGAAGTCTGGGAAACGTACGCCGAGAATGACGAAAAAGACTCAAGGCTCAATGGCTCTCAAAGGGCAGAAACAATGGAATTTAACAGAACAGCAGCTCCACAAGTTCAAAATTAATGAATCAACAGAAAAGCGAGTAAACATTCTGCGGAGCTGACAGCTGAAGTGCCGAGATAGTCATCAAAAGTAGCAGCACTGGCTTAGCAATTTATCATGGAAAATGGAGCACAATCGTTTCTCTTACAGCATATTTGATAAAGAATATAAGGCAGACATGTTCCTTGCCCAGATAATCTTACAGTCCAAATAATTTAAAATACTATCCAACACAAGTCAGGCACTCATACATAGATCATTGATGGTCTGTGAAATATTTGCTTTTGCCATGGAGCTGATGCCTCAGTACTTCCAAATACTAAATTCCATCGCTTCCGTAGTATTATAAACAATTTTCTGCATAGAAAATTATCTGTTTCACTGATTTTATTTCATTCCTAGTGGAATGAACAGATTTTTTGACAAAAAATTAATCATATATTAGCCACATTAACTTTGAAGAAAAACTCCAATGCCCCTATGACCACTGACATTTTATCACCTACAGGAGCTAAAAAACCAAATAAACAAACAAACAAACAAAATTAAATGAAGCTGGATCACAAGCAATGGTAGAGAGAAACCTGAAGATACAAGAAAAAATAATAAGATTAAGCCAAAATTAAGCAAACTGAGGTGGAAAAGGCCTGAAAGAACATCCTGATGCATTTTAATCTGAGGAAAGACATGGAAAGGACCATTTTGATTTTCCAGTCTAGTGCCTGCAATAATACGGTAATTGCATCAGAAATTCATATAGAACTGTATTAAACTTCATCTGACTTTACAATTTTCACCTGAGAGATGTTAACATATCCTATCCAAAAGCCAAAATGAATTGTTTTGTTAAAAACACCTGCTCCAGGACACAATCCTGTCTCATTATGAATAATTATTCAGATCAAACACAATTAAATACTCACATTGTACAAATTTTCATGTTGCCCAAAGAAATGGAAATTGTTTATAAATGCAGTATTATTCTACTTACAGTTACGGATATTATTCCAGTCGATTTTAGAAAAAAATGGATGGCAGCAGAGTCCCTCATAACCCAGCCTTTCCTTCTGCCCACAAAGCAGGCTCTGGATCAGATCAAGAAATTCACTACTAACTTTCACATCCTCTGGGAACTTCAGAAATCTCTGCATTAGAAAGAAAAGGATTTCTGCTCAGTAGGAAAGCAGTCCCAGAACAGTAAGATTAAGGTTCATTATTCTGAGATATGTAAGGCACAAAGGATAAATATTTATAGTGTACAAATAAAAGTATTGTGCATTTTTCCCAAAGAGGCTTTGATGTGCATTTACTGCAGTAAAGATAAAAACACAGGAACAACCATACCCAATCAGACAAATGGCAGACCCAGATCACCATCTTATGCTGAACAATGGCCAATGGTGCCCACAAATGGAAGAGTAAAACAAGACACTTTCCCAGAAAACTCTCCCAGACACCCAAGGATTTGTGGCTTAGGATTTTCTGAACCATGGGTGATGTCTTTGTATTTGCCTGATCTCCATGGATTCTTCCAGTCACTCCTTGAAGCCATACTACTACAGCTACTCCAGTAGCTGCAAACTCACAGCGAAGAGCTCCCCAGCATGAGAATGGGCTATATGAAGCATCCGGTTTTGTTTGTAATGTAGTTACTGCTGGCTACTTTCATGTGATGCTCCTAATTCCCATGTTAGAAGAGATAAGAGGCAACCATTCTTTGTTCACCTCCTCCCAGCTACACGATTTTTTTTTTCCTTTCCTACTACCTCCTACCATTCTATCAGCTGCTTTTTGGACTGTTACTAAGAACTAAACTAACATTTGCATAGATTATAACATTGAGATACTGTTCTTGAGCCCACCACTGGGTAAAATTGGGATACTTTTCCCTTCATATGCATTAGTTTAAATCTATTTACACTGAATTTCACACGATGTTTTAATCATGCAGATGCGCAATATCCTCAAGCCTTTCTGCAGCCCTTCATAGCTAGCCCTTGTCTTTACTATCCAGAAACACTTAGTAAGGTTCAGGAACTTTATCAATCCACAATTCATCCTTTCAATCCCTTTTCGAGATTATTTTGGAAATGCTCCAATTATAGTTGCCTAAGACGGGCAGCTAAATCTTTTTTAATTCAGGCATTGCAGACGGTTATTTTTAAACACCTGTTACAAAAAATAACTTGATATCTACAATACAGAGACACATAAAACCAACATAAAGCATACATGCTAAATGTTTTACGAACATGACAAAGTAAGAGCCAGCCATAAGCTTCTTTTTTCAACTGTAACAACATGATCTTCAGTTACAGCCTTTTTACCCAAGAACGTGGAAGGAGTCCTCTCTACCTGGAAGTTCATGATGTTATTGAAAGTTTTTGCTGAAGTCCCCTCAGCAAACGGAGACCTTCCATAAATCATTTCATACGCAATGACTCCTAGGGACCACCAGTCACATTCTGGACCATAAGAAGCTTTGCCATCCCCATTCAAGCCCGTCAGCATTTCTGGTGCCATGTAGTCAGGTGTGCCAACAGGTAGCTTAGCGTTTACCTAGAAGCGAAGATATACCAAGTGAAATTACAGCACTTTCTGTTCATTGTGACCTTGGTAATAAAACATACCTCTTTTTTTTTTTTTCTTTCTAAATTTCAAAACTAGTCAAATTTAGACATAAATATTCCCTGCCCGCATTGCATTCTGTGTCGTCCCTACTTTTTTTTACTTTGTGTTCATGATCAGCAGAGTACTAGTATTTGAATTTCGGGAGTGCTTAGAAAAGGTAATTCAGGAGCCAAAACCGCAATCATTTTTGCACCCAGTGGCATAAAGAAAGAAACAAAACAGCAGGCAGACTAACACAAAAACCTGAAGCTGACTGAAAAGATAACGTGGAGAAAAAATTTAAAAGAAAAATGCAATGCAGAGAAGCACTGAAAAGGGAAGAACGGGGAAAACAGAATATTAAGACTCACAATACTAAGAAAATGCTATGAAAAAATCAAAATTGTAAAACAAGACAGGAATCTGGTATAGAACTTCATATTCTCGCTCAGATATATTTTAATTCCAAATTATCACTTGAAATTGTATGCAGTTACCTAAACTTACAAGCAACTTATAAAAAAACCTCAACCGATTCACAGCTTTCAATATAGTGCTTTCTGGTGAGTAAAGACCAGAACACTGGAACGTGACTCATTACAATCAAGAGCTCCCCGGTCTTCAAAACTGTGCCACCTCGGTTACAACAAACACAATTTTCAGTCCAGTTATGAACAATCATAAATCCATGTCCTTCTTTAAACACAGCATTGAACAGTTGTAAGAATCTCTAGAAGTTTGATTTTGTATTGCAGTACAGCACCACGAGAAAGTAGACTTGCCTTTACCTTTCTTGTGTATTAAAATTTTAATAAGCAAATACACATCTACCGAGAGCTGCAAAAGCTGCTCGACCTCCTATTTGAAAAGCCATTCATAAATGGAAAAATATCACTGCGAATAGATTCCATATTGGACAGGAAAGGCAGAAGAACAAAGGAGTAATCAAGGAACAGATAGAAAGTTAGTTTTCCCTTTTTGACTGGACTATCCAAACAAGTCCTTTTAAATCCACGTTATTACCGTTTTGTTCACTGTCATTTTGGCAGCTGACCCAAAGTCCACCAGTTTAACGTGTCCTGTTCGGTCAATAAGAACATTCTCTGGTTTGATATCTCTGTAAGGAAGAAGAAAGCAATCGGCACCTTTCCACACCATTCCCCACTGTCATATCTCGGTAACAGGCTATCCCTTTTCAGCCACACTCATCTGTGTGCTCAGTTGCATAAAACTTAACGAGTGGGAATCTTTTCCAACTGTCATTCTGTTTCCAAGCAAATAGGAAAGTAGTAAAGTTCCCCTTATTCCATGCAAAGTTAAAAAGTATTGACAGAAGATGGAAAGAGAAGGTGGTTTCACACCTGGACTATGCTGTAACTGAGTTACAGTGAAGTATTAGGTAGCTTTCTTCCCAAATTTCCTCACAACTCATTCTGCACATCTTTCAAACCCAGGCAGCTACCTTGCACTAGAAAGCCACAGCCTATGCTCTAAGTGCAGCCACTACAGCTGCTTGGAACATAAAACACTTCATAACATTTCCAAAGCCTCAGAACGGACTACGCTTATTAAACACCACCGTGACTTGAAGATGCATACAGTAACAGCCTTCAAGCCTTGATATGATCTTTAGAAAGCTCTCTGATATTTAACTACTCCAACATCCTATACTGCCCTGTTCACCAATCAGCACAAAACAAGTTTTAACAATTACACTAATTTCCCACACTACCTGGTGCTAAAAGCAACAATCTCTGGAAAAGATTTAAATTTTTTATAGTGCAACATTAAGGTTTCTTTTTACTAAGCCTCCAGAAAATATATGTAACAATCCTTTCTCGACATTAGTTTGAACTTTACATCAAAGTTAATGCCTTTAGCTACAATTATAGTTGGAGTCTGATTAATTTTCCAATTTTCTTTTCTGATACAGCATGTGAAATACTGTCCTGAAAGAGGACAAAATACAAAAAAAATCAGGAATGTATCATTCCAGAACGCTTTTTCTGGAATGATACTGATCAAATATTCTGTGCAATGCAAGCAGTCTTTACCTACCGGTGTACGTAACCCATCTGATGGACACTGTGAATGGCTAAAACCAACTCTGCAAGATAAAACTGCACCATACTCTCATCTAGTTGGTCCTCATATCGGTTTAAGAGCGACAGTAAGTCCCCTCCAGGCTGATACTCCATCACCTACATAAAATTTTAAAGGAACAGATATAGTCCGTATATACACCGCACATTCCATTCAACTCCTCCATAAGACACTGGACACACATCAAACAGTTGCATGTAACGCAGGAAAATTTACAGAAGATGAGCACATTTCAACCATCACACTGTTCTTCAGCGTAACAATGGCAATAGTGTTCAATAGAGGAGAAAAGAAACAAAGACAAGGCATTACCAAGTAGAGATTTTTCCTGTCTTGAAATGCATATTGTAACTGTGGAATCCATGGACTGGTGCTCTGAGATAATATACTGCGTTCTTCCTCAAAAAATGACACCTACGAAAAAAGGAAGTGTTCAGTTATATCATGATGAAAATGTGTCAGAATACACTAGAATCCCCTAGCTTTAGAACGATTTGAGTCTGTGCCAAAGGCACGCGTCACAGAAAAAGTACACAGAAAATATTAAATGCTATTTCCTTATGATGTGCGCATTTAAAGAAGTAATTTTACTCCTTTGCATTTTCCATTCCCCTCCCACCTTCTGTTGTCTAGCTTGCTTTCAACTGAATAGTCGCTGCAGCAAAGGCCTGCTCCCCCTTCAAGCTGGTGAAGCATCTACCAGTCTGGAGTGCAATCTTGGTTAACCTCATTTGGACTGGCCCTAATAAAACTAATCTCAAAAGAATCAGACAGGCAAAAAAGAAGCTAGAACAATTATGGGGTAGCATCTTACAGCTAATTCAGTAATAAATTCATTGTAAGGTATTAAACTACAAGGCTTTCTTGAAATCATCCTCTAGCGACTATTTAACTACTTAGATGTGCAGCCAGACAACGAGGAATTAATTTTATTACAGAGATACTGCCAGTTCATTTAGATCAACATTCCCTACTTTCACTGACCCACACGCAAGAAGATTGAGCAAGTATCATATCGAGGGTAGGATCGTACCTTGCTTTCTTGTCAACCTGTACCACAGCAAGAATAATTTCAGTTTATCTTCATTTCTGATAGCCACAAACAATGCTAAGGGATCCCAGGAGCAACCTGACTGCACCAAATATTGGGAACAACTGATGTAGGTATCGCTGTATAAATTCACAAGGTCCTTCATGGAGTATCTCTGTCCTACTTGTCATCTCATGTCAGTGAAAGATTAACTTCTGTTTCTCACCAAACGATGATAACAACCTCCATTATCCCTTTTTTAAGTTTCAAGTAACACATTTCTCAAGCTAGTGAGAGGCTCTCCATAAAAATCCAGTCACCACAGTTTGCCTTCACACCCACTCTTGACATTCTATGTCGCTCTTTAAAATAAAAAAAACCTTAATGACTAGATTGCCTGAAAATTCAAGCCATCATCAAGCTGATCGATACTGATCCAGTATTTTCTTAATCTGTTTTTAGCTGTCTTGCAATTAGATGGTAAGCTCTTTGAGACAAGGGCCATTTTTTGGTTTGGATGGCACCTCACCCAACAGATTCATGGTCTGTGACAATGGCTTTTAAACACAGTAAAACTACACACAAATATATTACTTCACTGAAATGGAGGATGATCCTCCTCGAGATATATTTTTATCTTAATTCTAATAGTAGTGACAAAAGGGAAATGTTTGATAAATTGTAATTTATCGTTCTACTGTCATAACGGAGAAATATACGTACATGCTCCTGCGCCAACAAGGACTCCTTGCTCATCACCTTCATGGCATATACGTCACCAGTAACTTTCTCTCTTACTACTTTTACATCTGCAAAGTGACCACAGCCAACCACACTCTTTACTTCAAAATCCTTCACGCTGGGTTGCAGTTCCCTTAATTCAGCTATAGTCTCTGCATCTATAAAAATAAAACACTTATTTTTACATTAGCCAACTGGCATTTCATAACGAACACAACATCATAAATGGGGAATAAAACAAAAAAAACATTTAGTTCCAGACTCTCAAGAAATGTTAAATCATTCCAGAATATGCTTCTTAAAAAAACCAGTATGCATAAGAACTAGAAAAAGACTGTGTTAATGCATAGTTAAGACTGAAATATGGTACCTACAAAGGAATCAGGAAATGTTAAGACGGTTCCCATAGCAACCATAATTCTGTCCCATTCATAACATCAGAGGCTGATAGCCTCTTTTGTTTCTAATTTCTTTCCAACCATCCTTTACCAATACAAAGCGCATTCTCTAAATACGAGGGCTTCACCCAGCCGAGTTCTACAAGTCAAGTGGCAGGGTTTCCTCCTCTACCTGTGGGAGGCACCAGTCTATTGTCTAACAAATAACCGTAGACATGACGTTTCAGATGTTCCGTTCAAGTTTTCCATTGACTAGTTTCAACCAGCATGCACTGTGATAATCAATTGTTCTCTGTACATTGTTCTAAAAATTCTTCAGACGAGCAGAAAATGACTCTCTGCTAATAATATCCAGAAACTGTTGGATGGAACTATCACAGGGGGCATGAGAAGTTACTTTTAACCAAACGTCTTTCTAGTATATCTTAATAGAAAAAATCGTGAACCCTTTTTTCCCCCCACAAAGAATCTGAGCACATCATCAGTAAAATACTCTGTCAGAAATCATATTTCTGAAGCACAGAATTACTATTTACAAGTTACACATGCAAAATTTGTGTAACACGTGGAAGCCAAAAGATTTCTTCAAGCTGAAAGAGCCAAGTATTACCAAGTTCCTTTCTAGATCCCCCCCCCCCCCCCCCCCCCCCCACATCGCAGCCTACATCATCCGTAGAGTGCTGCTTTCTTCAAGTTATCCTGCTGCACTCCAGTTTGTCAGAGGATCCCCCCCCCCCCCCCCATACCTCTAGTTACTGTCCTGCTCTCAACTTCTGACATCCTATTGTGCGGACTTGGAGCTTTGCCTTATGCAGTACTCAGGCACTGTTAAAGTGCCTCCTCAACTATAAATACAGTACAGGCTAAGAAGGATGCACATTCGAGTCACAGCACTTCAAAAGCCACTTGGCATTTGACCTTTTTGGACCTGAACAAAGCCCCACTAAGATTGCCAAGGTCCCCTTTGCAATGCTGAGTCTGTCCACAAGAAGTCTGATGCTCAAAGTCCTGGCTTACAATCATTACTGAATCAAAGCAACTAAAGCATTATTTAAACATTCAGATCCTTAAGCACTACCTTATAAAATGACACCTGAAAATTGGTCTCAACAAACTTACACTTCTTGACAAAGTTGCCAACGTGTTTAATTTTCATTAAAGCGGGGTTTCTGCATTCTTCAAAAAGAACGAATAAAGAATCAAGGATGCCTTCCCGGGAGAGAGGAGACATCTGCTGTTGAGTCACAAAGATTTGCTTCCCCTGGAAAAAAAAAAAAAGCAACAGCAGATGGAGTCTCAGACAACAATGAAAACCCTCAAATCAATAACATATGTATAGAGCAATTATATATTATCCATTTAAAAATCACTACTTCAGAAATTAGAGAAACGATGCAGAGGTGTGAGGTAAACATATCAACTCGTTATATCTATCTGTAATAGTTGTTACAGGTATTTTACTTTTCGACAAAGCAATCCTTTAAGGATTGTTAAAGTTCAAATCACAGCTTTCTTGAAACTATCTACATCCTACTGATGACTCTGATCTGACTAGCTTTTTTCTTGACATTGTACCATGTGGGTTTTTTCATGGTACAAATAGTTTAAGCAATCAGTATCAATATTAGCTCTAGAAGGAAAA